TTTTGGGAGACTTTCAGTAATCGGGAACCCTTTGTCAACCCTGTGCCCCCCCCCCCCCCTCCGTTGCCGAACGCTCTGGCTGCGTGCGTGTATCCCATAATGCCTACTTTCTTTGAATTATTTGATGGTCATGACCTCTGTTTTGCTTAAATAAGGGATTATTTCATGATTGATGCACGCAATAAAAATAAAATACTATCGATAACCCATGGCGAATATAAGATTAGAAAAGTTGGGTGCCACGAATTATCAGGCGTCACGAGCATATTACGAACACCACACACATTCCTATCATTCAAGCCCCCACATCGTAACAGCCCCCGATGCACGGGGGCCCATGCACGGGGCCCCCGATGCACGGGGGACCCCGATGCACGTGGTCCGATGCATGGGACTGTCCGAGGGGCTGCCTGAAACACAGAAGACAGAGCCGAAATGTTTCGATGACCCGTGTGGAGTGCGAGGTAAGAAAGCCGCTTGCTGCATGGCATCAGTGTTTAGAGCAACAACTAAATAGAGCAACGACTAAAAAGCGATTCGTTGACGCAAGTTACCTAAGCGACGCCGCTCAAATCCGGCGCAATGACGACGTTTGCGTGTTGAGCCTCGGACGACGGTTGCGGATGTTACTGACCTGTCTGCCTAGCATGCCACAGGGTCCAGCTGCACAGGCGTAAGATTTTAGTACGAACACAAGGAGGGGCCGAACAGTGAGCGTAAGCCATTGGGAAAATATCGGCTGTAGCAGGTAAATTAAACACGATGAGGATCAATACAGGAGAAATAACGGGTTCGCTGGACCATCACGCGGCTGAGCCGTCCAGCACCGTTGCAGAGGTTGGGCATCCACCACTGCAGACGCTGGGCCGTCACTGAGGTACTCACCATCGCTGGGCCCGTTCTTCCCCAGCCAGCGTCCCTCCCCCTTCCCCAGCAATATAATTTTGATGACGCACCTCCTGGCGGCATCGTGACGCCCAAACGTTTCATTCGCCATCGGTGCAAGTCTTGAGGAGCCGCTCGCGCCCGCCCGCCAGCCCCCTCCCCCTTCAGGATGCAGTAAAAAACCTGAGGCAGTGGCGGGTTCAGGTTTTCGTCAAGGGGGGGGGGGGAGGCTGCCACATTGTGGGGCCTCCTAGAGTTTGGGCCCCCAAAGATATTCACATTCCGACCATGCGCCTTGTTCAGTTTCTCAAGATCATGATGGATCCTGTCATTTTGAGGTTAAGTGGTTTAGAAAAAAACGGCAAAAGATGGTAAAGATGGCTGCTAAGCATCATCAGAATCAAACGCTAACTTGATCCCTAGCTTATTTACGGCTAGGCGATTAATCAATGCTGTCAGCTGATGGCTGATGGCTCATGCAGAGTTTTGATTTGGTTGACGGAATTTAAAAAAGGATATCCAAACATTCACAAAATGCATTAAGACCCTGATGCTCAAGCCTAATAAGCCACACAAATATAATATCCAACGGAAAGGGCATATACAACGTCGACGGCACGCGAAATTATGTTCAACAATGGCGCGTAAAAATTCATCGGCACAGTTCCGACTGTTGCTCTAAGATTAGAGCGTCAAGACTAATCGTCATCCTGTAGTCTCGGAATTCTGCACATGAAGTAATTTAGCCAGGCCCGTACACACGAGTGGGCGAAGTGCCCGGACACTGGTAAGCACACATAGAGGTTTCGGCAACAGAGCAAGGTCCTTCCAACGTCATTGTAAGGGCTCACGACCAATGTCGAGGGCCTTAGAACGATCGTGAGTGTCCCGGCCGATTAAGATTTCGGCCCTCGTCGATGACATAGGCCCCCCGACAGCATGGAAAAACCGAGGCCAATTGAGACGGGACAGGGGCGATCGAGGGTGCTACGGCAGGCCAACAAAGAGCCTTTTGTTAACAGTTCAGGGTCCTTAGAGCATGAGAGAAACACCCAAGTCCAACGTGGTGGGCCCCTGAACGAACGGAAGTGCCCCGACAGGCTGACATATAGGACCCCAGTCAGAGCGAAGTGTCTTCTGAACAAAAGGAACTTATCCAAAACCAGCGTACATGAATGAGCACCCCTGTGCAATCATGAGTGTCCGGGAAGGTTAACAGTAAGGGTTCCGGTGGGATTGAATTCTTGCCCTGACAGATTCGTGGTCGACGATCGGCGGAGCACGTCTGGGATCGGTGACGTGCTGCCGATGATCGGCGGCGAGCGGCCGGGTCCGGCCATCGCAGTGTCTGTAGCCGCCAGCTGCGCGGCCGCCGACCCGTCGGCCACCCGAGGGACGAGGCTTCTCGTCTCTCATCGGCCATCGGCCATGCAGCTGTGTGGTAGTGGATTTAATGCGTTTGGAAGATAGCACGCGTCAGTTTGATATTTCAACCGTCTGTACGAGACTGATGATTCACCACATTTAGCACGACCATTTTATGTGTTGTTTGGCGCTGACCGGCCGCCAAAGCCTGAGTGATGTTTCAATGGCGGGTGCATTGTAAGTTGGGCTTGAAATAAATTTATCCTTCTCTCCGTCTCTTGTTAAAGGAGATGAGCGTAATCTCTGTTCTGAACGTTTGTATTTCGGACACCCTTACTATCGGAAATCTTGGACATTATTTTGTATTTTGGACATCACAAACGATGGACATTACAAACTTGGACATCATGACAGAGAATGTTCCACATTTGAAGATATCGAAGCAAGCATCAGATATGATGAGATAAGCTCATTTTTAACTCATCAGATATGATGAGATAAGCTCATTTTTAACTTTTGGTGTACTTTTAAGTGGGAAACACTGCTTTAGACTACACAAATTGCATAGTAAATATGCTCGTCAATGCGTCGTTGTTTAATTACGTCATCGTACCCTGCACAACACTGATTGAGAGCCAACTGACGGCCGTTACATCTGGAAATCGTGTTCACGAGCGCCATTTATGAACGACTCGACAAATATGCTTGTCTTGGCCATGATCGTCGCATGGCTAATGGAATGGCATGATTTCAATGGCGTCATCATGTCATCATGGTCGCCTGGGTGACCTCGAAATGTTCTCCAGGAAATGGTCTGCACATCGTCGCGGACGTTCAGCTCAGAAACTAGAGGGGTTTAGGTCTCGAGAGTGACAGGGCTGTGAACTGCATCGAATGATCTTCAAGATGACTACATCAGTTCAAAACCCCATACAGTTATGCAACTGTGGAACATTGCGGTGTTGTGACTAAACAGCTCTCAGCACTGCTCGATGGCCGCGTCTTTGGATCCTCCCCCCCCCCCCCCCCCACCTCCCCTCATCGGCGGACCTCCCGGACCGAGTTCGGTCGCCCCGCGCAGGGGCGCCCCCTACCGGGCCTCGGCGGCACCTGGGGGCCGACTGCCTGCGGCTCTTTCATTTGCGCGCCTCATATCGCATTCGGTGGTACTCCTGTATCACGCCCTCCACGTGATGTGAGGTTCGGCAAGCCGGGCTCTGTATTCAAGCGTTCGGCCGGTAACGCTCCTCGGTGTCGAGCGGACAGCGTTAGTTGGCCAGTCCTGTGACCCCTGTCTGGTGACTGCACCGGTCCGGTCACGAGCCTTACATCCGGCACCAGGTCTTGGAGGGCAGGCTGGCAGTCGAGAGAGTAGGCTGACCGTTCGCTGCGCGTGAGCGACGAGGCTCGCGCTCGGACCAACAGAGCCGTACCGACGCAGGTGGCCAGCAACATAAACACAGTGGTTCGCAGGGGCGTGGCGTAATTCCGCACACGACCGTCTGTCGTGCCGTGCACATCATGGCGCCGTGGCGTCGTATCGTTTGTCATGCCAGACATTACCCTTTGCCGTGTCGCTGACGTCAGCAACACGCGAAAGCGCGCCGATCCGGGACCCGTCGCTGGCCTCCCGCTGATAGATCAGCGGGCCGGCGAGTGACATCGATCTAGCGGGGACGCTGCGCGGGCGGCTAGTCGATGGCTCACCTCTCGTCTCCGACCGGCCGCTGCCTGTCGGCCGCCACACGCTGGTGGGTATTTGGGCTTGAGGGCGCGCGGACAGCCCTGGTGGCGTCCATGGAGGCAGCGCGACAAGCACCATAGCATGCTGTGCATCGTGAGGATAACTGACATGGCCTGTGCATAACGGCCGCTTCATGGAAACACAATGACGTGACGGACACCGATCCCCGTCAGCCGGGGCGACGCACATCGATCCTTTCCAGTCAGGCATAGTAGACATTTAAAGCCCCCAACGGATAGAACCGACCGTCCAAGCGATGCAGGCAGGCAGCTACGTGGACGCCTCACACTTCTGAATATTGACTGGTTTGTTCCCAGACTGTTACACGAGTCGGATGTGTGCACATGGCTCGACTCTACCCGGCGTGTTAGCGTACGTCGTGCTCTTGGTGAACGCGTCATACTTTGCTATTGTCGCTGCGCACAGGTATGCTCTTTTCTCTCATCTCCCGTTCGGTCATGCTGGGTAAGTGTTTTAGAGGAGAGGGCCCCATAGGGAATTAAGTTGCGTGTCGGAATGTCTAGTGTGTAACTGGTTTTGAACAACTTTCTAGACGATTAGCAGCGGTACATGGCTTGCAGCGTTCGCACATATTTGAATATTTATGATGACTGAAGCGGGCATTTTGACCTCAGGTCTGATTTGCTTCGCGACGAGGAAGCCGCCTTGGATCTCAATCTGAGCGCCTTCGGGTATGTACTACACGTCAGATTTTCTCTTATGTCATCCGTTCCTTTGACGCCCGTCCAAGTTCCACTGTGATGACCGACAACACAGTGACCCGCGCGTTCTAGGTGGAATTGGCGCTCTGAATTGGCACTGGAAAACGAAAAACAAGGAAGCTGATAGTTGATTCCAAGCAACTGTCACAGACAGCGGTCGCCGCACATCAGTTTTGTTCATTATCCAACTACCGAGCCGCATGTACCACCCGCGTCTTGTTGAAATAAAGCGACACAAGATCGTGCATCACCGGCATAGCCCAGAAAAATAACCAAATCTTCGAAACCGTGTATAGTATACTCCCGCCATGTATCATAGACATCACCACGAACAACAGAACACAACCACGCATCCGCGAGTGTAAAGCTCCCCAGAAACGGCCGCCCCGCCCCGCCCGGCGCGCCTCCTGCGCCTCCTCCGCTACATCCTGCGCTTGATCAGCTTCTCCAGCCGGTGGATGCGGCCGGCCTCGTGCTCCGGACTGCCGCTGGGGACACCGCCGGCGGCCAAGCCGCCCGGCCGGCTGCTGCGGAACGCCTCCTGCAACTGGCTCTGCTCCGTCCGGCGCACCCCCTGCCGAGTGGCCTCCATCAGACGCGGGGCCTCGCACGGCGCGAGGGAGGCGGGCGGGGAGAGCAGGGGCGTGCCGGGTCAGCACCGAGCGGTCTCCATCAGACGCGGGGCCTCGCACGGCGCGAGGGAGGCGGGCGGGGAGAGCAGGGGCGTGCCGGGTCAGCACCGAGCGGTCTCCATCAGACGCGGGGCCTCGCACGGCGCGAGGGAGGCGGGCGGGGAGAGCAGGGGCGTGCCGGGTCAGCACCGAGCGGTCTCCATCAGACGCGGGGCCTCGCACGGCGCGAGGGAGGCGGGCGGGGAGAGCAGGGGCGTACCGGGTCAGCACCAAGCGGTCCCCACCAGACGCGGGGCCTCGCACGGCGCGAGGGAGGCGGGCGAGAAAGGCAGGGAGGGCAGGGACATGCAGGGACGCCGCCGGACGGGCGGCCATTCGACATTTCACCACGCGATAAACAACACCTGACGCCTGCCCCTCTCGACTCCAACCTCAACTCTTTAAAAAAAAATGTATTATTATGATGAACCGGCAAACACCCCGGTTCTGACATATCCAGGCAATACAGCGCCATACGAAGTTCGGTGTACACCACAACCTTCATACGACGGCTGCCTATGCCCGTTTTCGAGACAATTATGGAGATAATCATGCTATAACGCGCTGATGTAATTAAACCATCGTCAGAATATTGAAGCAAACTCAAGACTGGCGTCTCGAGCGAGCCTGGAACACACTCAACTTTGACGTTAACCATGACAACGTCCGTCCAAACCAGGCCACATATCGGCGACCCGGTCAGTCACCTTGATGTGACCCCATTGACTGACCCTCACGTGACCTTGAACTGACCGTTATGAAACGTTGTCAGTCTTTTGTCAGACGGCTTTAGCGATTATCACCATCTATTTTTCCTCCGGCGGCAATAACCCTCGAAAGACCCCGCGTTGACATTTGCGTGACCCTCTACTGACCTTCATGTCGAGCACCTTCTGGAACTCTGCGGCGTCCGATTCGGGCAGCAGGCGGCTGTACTGCTCGACGTAGTCGGCAGGCCGCTCGTGCGGCGACATCACCACCTTGAGCAGCATCTCGGCCCGCGTCATGCCCTTGACCACGATCTTGGTGTAGCTGCCGTCGCCGGGACACGGGACAGTCGTTAAGGTGGTCACGGGGCTGGCGCAGGGACGGATGCGCAGGTGAATATAACCGCAAGCGAGTGGGAAGATCGCAGAGCAGTGCCGTGGATCTGTAGCTTCGGCATGTGGTTCGCAAGCAAATAGCACGATTTGCCACTCAGCTTGTCACATTTTGCCTGTTGGTTTATTTTTTTGTGCTGAATATGGAGGGCTCTTGGCAAGAAAGCCTTGAGAATTGGCCAACGAAGGCTTTTTGCGCGGTGGTTGTGCACATTTTCCGATCACCACTTCAAGTTCATCTTACGGCGTCACTTCTGGGGCACCAAAGAGCCTCTGCTACCCGTACAACTCCAGGTCACAGCCACCACTTTCTATCGCCACCTTCACTAACTGGTTGAAAAAGGAACTACGCTCTCCCCCAATACCTCACGCGGCACATGTGTCCTAGCAAACCGGAAAGCACAAAAGTGCATTCGAGGTTTATAACAAAGCGATCAGCACGACAAAACACGGCACAGTGATCAGATCATGTCTACGCATGACTCCAACAAGGCAAATATGCCCTATAACAAGCTGGAACCAACAAGCCAGCTTTCTCCGTTCGCAAACATTTTCTCTGGATGGGCAGTCTTATGCTCTCTTAGCAACAGGATGCCTGATCTAATTTCCACGGGAGCATAGGACTTACTCGCCGTACATGCCACCTGGACATGTTTCCTGCGCCGGGCCCACATAATCTAGATCGCTGCCTCGTATTCGCAGGGTTTGCCACGGCCAGTGAGCGGCGCTGCTTGATGCCCTAATCGCTGACGGCCCCACTGGCTCGGCCCGTCCAGCGTGTCAGTGGGCCGTTAGCTCCGCATACCTGGCCGGTGCGCTGCGTTGCACCTGGCTGCCGAGAGATGGCAGGTCGAGCAGCTCCGTCTTGAGCGAGTGCGTGTCCAGCAGCAGCTGCTCGGCACCCACCGTACTCACAGGCTTGCACTTGTAGATGTGCTGGATAAACTTCGGAATGAACGAGCTGCGGAGCACCACGGCAACTTATTGCTAGGAGCGAGGTCGAACAGCCCTCCAGAATGGTGAGTGTGTTGTGCATTCTTAATCTGAGGGTTTCGGGAACGATTTCCGTCGAGGAATATACGTGCCCTACATGATGCCACCGGCATGACGGGCCGCAATGGCAGCCTGGAAGTAGAATAAAACCATGCCATAATCGGCGAATCACCTGGAGCGGACGGCCTGTACGTAATCCCATCAAGTCTGGAAGGTTTGCTGATTTCCCACCAGTGCCATCCAGGGAAAATAACGGCGATGTACCTTCCAGGAGCACCCAAATACAATACTGGTAAAGTACCTGTACACCTAAGTTACCCACATGACGTGCTTGAAACGTTTCATTTGACAATGCAGGTAAATCACCCTGATAAACTGCACAGTCCTTTCCTGTACCAAGGGTTTCGCTGTCGTAACTATTGTGGAGGTCTGGCAAATTTATGACATTCAGAATCGCGCTACAGTGCACTCCTTTTTGGTTTTCGCTGTCGTAACTATTGTAGAGGTCTGGTAAATTTATGACATTCAGAATCGAGCTGCAGTGCACTTTTTTTGGTTTGAGGGAAGATGTAGATTCAAACCACGCATCAACAATTTCCGACATGGGGTGGCCACTGATGCAAACAACAAAACCATGGATGTTAAAGTTGGTCACATGGAGTATATGCCAAAAGCAGCGAGAGAACATGACCAACAAGCTGTGGGGCGTTGCCAGCAGCAAGACGCCTTTGACGGCATAGGACAAGCGAGGTGATTATAGACATGGCCACGTGATTCTTATCACCATGTAGGTGACACCATCATATATCAGCGAATACAGCCCTCACCAGGAGCCTTTGGGAACACATATGAATGAGACTGAGAGTGTACTGAAACATCCTTCGTCCAGGAGTTTCATGATTTAAGTTCATGTCCACTCAATTTGTCTGAGTTGCTCACGTCATGACATGAAAACCAGCTTAAAATGCGTCTGGCCTGGCCGGACGTTTTCAACCCGAGAAAACGATGAGCTCCCAATGGCTAACAGCTTTGACTATCGCAACCACATTATTGCAAAATAAGCATCAGGGTGAACAATGGCCGGGGGGAACAGGACCAAACGCCTGCCTAGTGTGCATGGCGTAATCTCCCTCAGTTTAAGCCAAAGCCTCCTGCATCGGAGATAAGTCCCACAAAGGAGGACACGACCCTCTCCATTTGGCCGCTGGTGCACCTGTGGCCGAACAATTTTTGAGGTGCTAGTGAGCTGTGCCGGGTACATTCGTCTTCACTGTATAGCTGGTACCACGTCTTCACCTTTTCCGGCTGCTGAGCTCTGACATCAACCCCCAAAAAAGTCTCAAGGCGGGCGGATCCGCGGTTCACGTGCGATAGTGCGCCAGGCCTGGAGACATCGGGCCAATATCTCGCCGGCGTGAGTGTGCTCACTCCCCCGGCAGTATCTGTCAGTAGTATGCCACTGCGACATCTGGTCGCCCAGATATGGACCTGTACCCGATCCGTGCGCGTAAACTGTCTGACTACGTTATTCCAACGCTGCAGAAATATGCCACCGCCGAATCCGCACGGGCCGAACCGACATAACTGGTCGAACACCTCGCAATGAAATACTCTGGAAATACCACGGTACAACCGTTAAAGAAACCGGCTTTTTTGGGCAGAGCAAATTCAGACGGAGGTACGACCCGCGGTCGCGGGTTTCAGCCCATCGGAGGTGTGGTCGCGGGTTTCAGCCCATCGGAGGCGTGGTCGGCCGGGACAGGCCGCGGAAGCCACCCAAGTTTCTGGCTGGTTGGCGCCAAGGCCCGCTCGGCACGCGCCACCGCCCGCGACGTAGGTCAAAGGTCACGCTATGCTTACTTGTGCTCCTTTACACTTTCACGCTGGGAAGTGATGGCGCGCTTCAGCTTTCTTCACTGTCACATTTGTAAGTTGTTCACTGCATTCGCGAGGAACGTTATGCATGTGGATAAGATAGCACTAATAGCCCTTTTCCTCGTACAAAAACCAGAAGATTGAAGGGGTAGATGTGATGATAATTTGGCTACATACCTTTACCGAAATGAATATCAGTAGTTCTACTACTGATTCTCCTGCTACTGACATTTGTTTCGATAAGGGCATGTAGCCGAAATATGAATACACCTGCCCCTCTATTCTCCTTGTTACACTACGGGGAATAAGGTTGATAGAACTGTCTCATCTACTACATCTGCGGTTCTATCAAACAGCATTCTATTCGTAATGGTTCTTAACTGATAGATGCCAACGAATCATCTTGTCAAGCGGTTGATGATAAGCTTTCCGATAATCAGGGCCAGACACGTGTCTTCAGCCCAAAAACATATTCCCAGATTCAGGATCCAGGATCCTACACCCACAGAACCGTATGGGGACTTGGATCCATCCGGGATCCCGGCACACACATGCTGCGCCCCACATTCCAGGCGCACACTACCGGCGCGCGGCCGCTTACTTGGCGAACTTGACGCAGAACTGCGTGAAGTATTTGCGCGACCCAGCCAGGTTGTCGCGCACCACGGGAACCGTCTGCTTCAGCTGGGACGTGATGGTCGACACGTAGCCGCTCTGGTCGCCCACCGACTCCACGTTCTGCCAGCTCATCTGCGGCAGGAGCGACGTTAGCTCCACGGACGCGTTCAGGCGGCGCGCTGGAGCCGGGCGCTTACGGCATTAATAGATCAGTAACATTTAGCTGGTGTACTCCGTACAGGCTGGGCAGCTGTAGTTAGCTCAATAGCTGAGCTCGCTCCCTCCCTCCCTCCCTCTCTCTCTCTCTCTCTCTCTCTCTCTCTCTCTCTCTCTCTCTCTCTCTCTCTCTCTCTCTCTCTCTCTCTCCTCTCTCTCTCTCTCTCTCTCTCTCTCTCTCTGTCGCTGTCGCTGTCGCTGTCGCTGTCGCTGTCGCTGTCGCTGTCGCTGTCGCCGTCGCCGTCGCCGTCGCCGTCGCCGTCGCCGTCGCCGTCGCCGTCGCCGTCGCCGTCGCCGTCGCCGTCGCTGTCGCTGTCGCTGTCGCTGTCGCTGTCGCTGTCGCTGTCGCTGTCGCTGTCGCTGTCTCTGTCTCTGTCTCTGTTTCAGTTCTGTCTTTGTCTCTGTCTCTGTCTCTGCTCTGTCTCTGTCTCTGTCTCTGTCTCTGTCTCTGGCTCTGTCTCTGTCTCTGTCTCTGTCTCTGCTCTGGCTCTGGCTCTGGTTCTGGCTCTGGCTCTGACTCTGACTCTGGCTCTGGTTCTCTGAGTCACGAGACTTGTTAAAATCTAGCTACGGTTGGTCATTGGTATTCGAGATTTACGAAAACGGAAAATTGCCCAACTGAGGGAGCTAGAAATGCCGCAAAGAATATAAACTATAGTCATCGAGCGGGGCTTGGAAACGCCAAGAGGTTGGCAGGACCTCACTGCGCAGCGCCCAACGCATTGATCGGTCGCATCAGTTGCACCAGTCCACAAACTGGCCTCTGTCGGCAGCACCACACTGCCACAGGCAAGGCTGACCTTAGTCATCATCACCAGGGCCGGGTCGCAGGCCGTCTCCAGGTCCTGCACCAGCACCTGCACGCAGTTGCCGATCACACTGCAATGGGGTGATAAGAGGGTCAGACGCTCGGAGGCAGAACAGGGAGACGGGGTCAGGCAGGGGCAGAACAGGGAGTCGGCGTCAGACGCTCGGGGGCGGAGCGGGGAGTCGGGGTCAGACGCTCGGGGGCGGAGCGGGGAGTCGGGGTCAGACGCGCGGGGGCGGAGCGGGAAGTCGGGGTCAGGCGCTCAGGGACAGAGCGGAAACCGGGGTCAGACGTTTGAGGGAAAGAGAAGAGTCCTGGGTCAGAAGTTTAGTGGCGGAGTGGGGAGTCGGAGTCAGATGCCCGGGGGCCGAGCGGGGACTGAGTCAAACGCTCGGGGCCAGAGTGGGGAGTCGGCGAGGCGGGGGTCGGTACGGAGGCATGCTGCGATGATACGCAGTAAGAAAGCTGACACCAGCTCGGTCCTATTGGCACCCGAAGTGAAGGGCTTGTGGATATGCAGAAAATGCATTGCTTATAACCCAATGCAAACTGACACGACTCGTCATCGCATCATGATATCACTGCCGCATGTTAGTAGCAGCGTTACACCCTTCCATGGCTAGGCTTTCAATGACTGATGATGCTGTCGTCGGCCACGTAACACGATCGGCATCGCAACCTGGACTTGCCTGGCCCAGCGCCGGCCGAGTGCGCCTCTTACTTGTGAAACACGTCCTGTTCGCTGCTGAGGTTGATCTTGTCAACCAGCGCCGGTTCCACCCGCTCCTTCAGCTTGCTCTCCAGCTGCTGAGTCGTCTCTAAGCAGTACTCGGCCGTGGTCAGGACACTGGAATCCGGACGAGGCGGTGTGAAGGGCCGCGGCGAAACTATCTGCAGCCACCACATTCACAGCGCCAACACCGCGGCAACAGCTAAGTGAACGCGCCAATCAGTCGTGACATACATTGGTGCATAGCATTTGCCTGATCCGCACGGCGCAAGAGCACGCCGATGGCGGCAAAAGTTTCGATCGCGTCGTCAGGCCTGGCGGCTGAGCGGCAGCACGAGCCCGGGGGACGGGTGGCGCGGCCCGCAGCCGGGCGTGACGCGCCGGACGCGCCGGTCACCTGCACACTCTGCCGAGGTCGTCCCGCGTCAGGCGCTGGATCTCGCCCTCCTTCAGCAGGCTCTGGAAGTTGTGCAGGAAGCCGGCAGTCGCCATGTCGCGCAGGTTGGACAGGTTGGAGAGGTCTTTCAGGTCGAGCGGCAGCGTCTTGCCGGAGGAGCCGCCGGCTGCGCTCACCGTCTGCCTGCGGCGGGGAGAGGGGGAGGGGCAGTGAGAGCGGCGTATTGCCGGTGGCGGCGGTGCCTCATGGACCACGGCGGAACTTGGGGAAGGTCAACCGGCCAGTCACGACACGCGCGAAGGTAATACTCTCTTCAAGGCCATTTCAGGGACAATTGTGATCCATGCATCGGCCGAGAAAACAACCAGAGACTTTGCCAAAAGGAAACGCGACAACCAGCGCCACATCACCCATCTTTCAAATCTCACCACATTATACCACAGACAGCCTATACTCTAAACGGTAGATAATGGAGCGCACCAACCGACGTACCAGCAAAGCAGGGCACGCCAATGTAAGAACAAATCGAGATTCATCACGAAGAGCAGTCAGTCAATCCCCTCCCAGCCAGTCGCTTCCCCTGCTCGACCTGGGCTGGCGACCTGCCGACCCTCACCCGCGCTCCCGGCGAGCAACTCACTTGGGCAGGTTGGCCAGCAGGATCTTGAGCGCGTACTCGCGCAGGTGCTTCTGAAACACGGCCGTGAGCGCCAGCAGCTGGCGGCCGCGGCTCAACTGCGAGCACTGCAGCATGCACTTCTTGTAGAACATGAAGAGGTCGGCGCAGCTGGGCAGGATGAGCGAGCTCTCGGACGCCGGGCTGGGGAAACCTTTGCTCTTCAGCTCCTGGCTGAAGCGCTCCAGCAGGTCCGACAGGTTCCTGCCGCCAGCCCAGGCCAGAGTCATCGAGACAAACTGGCGCATGGACACCGCATATAGGACAGGCGCCGACTGCAGTAATGGTGAAACCTTGAAACCAACGCTGGGAGCCACTGCAACAATGATATGTATGTTCAATATATATGTTCAATATGTTCAACGGCACAACTACAGAGGGACACGGTACGAAACGGGAAGCCGACATTTTGTGGCAAATTCTAACGGAGATATGCCTACGCCTTGGCAACACCTGCACTTGGTGTCCGTCTCCCACAGCAGGCTCCAAATGACTGGTGGTCCACAGTATCGAGCATACAAGGATCATGCGCCCACCTCTGAATGAAACCGCCACCAAGACCCAGCCTATTACCCAGCGACTTTGGACCTCGCGTGGGCCCCGCACCTGTCCTGGCTCTCGATGTAGATGTTAAGGTGCTGCTCGAAACACTGGCTGATGATGCCCTGGAACGGGTCGGAGGGCACCGGCTGTTCGGGCCGCGGCAGCACCGCCGCCGCCGCCGCCGCCGCCGCCGCCGCCTCCTCCTGCTCGAACGGGTTCGTCGACTCCGGCTCCGGCTCCCCGAACGGGTTCGTCGACTGGGGAGGCCAATGCTGGTCAATGGAGCGATCGATGCCGGTCGCCACGCGGAGCGGGGTCACGTTCGTGAGGGCCGCAGTCTATCTGAACAGCGCTTCAGTGAAGACAATCTCGCTAAACCATCGACATACCACGACCGTGGCCGTAGTCTCCCATCACCGGGCGATCTGGCAGCAGTGAGGCGAACAATCTACTACTGCGGCGCGCCATCTCGCCGGCGGCGGTGGACACGAGGCGGAAGGCGCGCGCGCACACACGCACGCACACACCCACACCCACACATACATACATGCACACACCCACACACACACTGCAGGCGGGTCATCGTTGACGCTGCTCGCATGACTCAACGCACAGCCGTCCAGGAGCGACGCGGGGCCAGCGGCCCGAAGTCGGCTGTACCCTGGTTGGCTAACACGTCATACCAGTGTTAACCTTGTCTCTACCTGTATGTTTTTTTACCGTGCGGGCTTTGCTTCAGTAGCTTTTTATCACGAGTGTATGTATGCATGTACATTGAGGTGAATGCTCTGAAATCCGTTTTGAGAACGCATCTAAATACATATCGCATCATCATCAAAGCTGGTCGGAGCGCGCCACCTTGAGCCCTGCCCGGTGTGGGCTGGGTGACACGCGAACACCGACTGTGAGGCCGGCTTCAGCACATTGCCTGAAGCCGGCCTCACAGTCCGTGGGGAGCGCCAGCCGCACTCGGGGCCGACCTCCCGCCAGAGGCGGGCGGGGCTGACTGACCTCCGGCGGCGGCGGGACGGCAGTGGCCGGCCGCCGCTCCTGCTGCAGCGTGACGCCCGAGAAGCGGCGCGACAGCAGCGTCTCGAAGCCGGATGTCCGCTGGATGGCGAACAGCAGCAGCTTGACGTCCATCTCGGACACCCGGCGCGCCATGATGGCCGACAGCTCCACCCTGCAGGTGAGCACAGGGCTGAGGCGCTGCAGGCGACGCTTGGCGTCGGCCAGACAGTGCCCAGTGGTCCGCGTGGAGCACAACCGCAGATCAACACCACACAAAACATGGCGCTCTGTGGAAACTTTCACCCCTCCCCCCCCCCCCCCCCGGACCAGGAATGGGTCAGGGCACGTGGCAGGCAGGCGCAGCACAGGTGCCGCCGCGACCGGCCGGCCGACCGTCGTACCGCGTCACGTGGCAGAACTCGACGGCGATGCGCTCCGACACCTCCCACTCGGGCGGGAAGAGGCGGCCGAAGCGCTCCTCGAACTCGATCAGACGCCGCTTCAGCCACGTGTAGCGTTTGTCGATGCTGTCCAGCCAGGCCTGCTCCTCGTTGGCGCCGAACAGGTGCGTGTACTCGGCCAGCTGCAGGCCGACGAACCACTTGAGCAGGTCCCGTCTGCCGGCGCGCGGGCGACGGCGTCACGCAGGGCGGGAGGAGCGGCGCCGCCCAGACGGCCAGCCGCTGGGCAGCCGTCACCGGCGGCGCGCTGCTGGCGGGTCATCGGCGCGACCATCGCCAGCGGCGCAGACCGGCGGGTCGCCATCGCCGGACCGTCACTCACGACCGCGACCGCCGACAGCCCGGCACCGGCGGCGCGACAGTCGGACTGGACATCACACTGACTGGAAATACAGCTCTCCTCTTGGGAGACGTTCGGGTCGGTAGAAAATACGCAAGCCAGGGACGGGGAGGGATAAAGTTTCGGAAAATAAGCATGGCTCGGGTAGGGAGAAATGACTACACAAAAATACCCTTTAAATAAGCACAAACGGTTTATAAAAGCACTTGACCCCCGTCAACTCATGGAATAGACCCCATCCCACCCAAAAAGAATAAAAAAACTACAACCCCTACTTGGATAAAATAGGCAACACCAAATCGCAGTACTACCTTCCCATTCTTTCACGCTCTGGGCGACGCTGCATAACCTACGTTCACAAATGATACATGCGCCATGCCTTTCGTGAGCTAATTACGCTACAGTGTAGTTGGAGTGATACAGCCGTACGCAACATATCTTGAAATCTCACACGCGATCTAAGTTTACAAGGAATCAGCGCGTCAGGTCCGGTAAGCACACGACAAACTGCAAGTTCAAGCCAGCAAAGAAGAGAAAACAACACTGACGGCCGGAGCCAAGAAGATCGATGCAAAAGCTAGTGAATCTCCTCGGCCAGCCGCTGTATATAAATAGACACCGCGGCAGTGAACGGCCAACGAGCCCCCTGCAGCAGTCATATTATGTGGTCCGGGAGGCCGTGTGTCGCTGCAATGGCATGCAACGCCGGCCAGTGGCAAAGCACTGCAGCCAGCTGCCCACCACCAGATCGTTACTGTGCGGCCGTCATTACTGTCGCCAGCGACGGGAGCGTTCGGCCGGGTCCTCACTTGACTTTCGGCTCCAGCACGTTGACGACGAGGCAGGCTTCACCCAGCTGCTGGCTCGGGATGGCCTTCTTGGTGTTGGTGGCCGAGAACGCCTCGCGGAAGTCGGCCGAGATCTGCTCGGCCAGGTCCGCTCTGATCTTGTGCACCTGCCGCACCGCCGAGGGTCAGCCCGCGGCGCCCGTGGCCGCAGCAGAGCATCCCCCGTCCAGCACGTGCACGCTGTCTGACGCGCCTGCCTGACCATTGCTACAGCCAGCACGTCATGTCCGCCAAGGTGGCGGCCGAGGCCGACTATGGTACGCGAACGCAACCGGTTCGGCTGCATTGAAGACTGCACTTTACCTGGCCCCTTGTTTAGAAGCTATACCTCTTTCTTTAAGAGCCACGGCACAGGCAGACAGCAGCTGCCCGGAAAACTGGTGGCGTTACGCATTGCCAGCTTGATACGGAACGCTGTGCTCAACATCCCTAGAGCGCAGTTAGTGACGACGTGGCGGGTCATACCTGATCGGCCAGCTCCTTGATCTGCGGAATGTCGAGGTACTTGTCAAAGTGCTCCAGCACCTTCATCACGCCCTCCAGCAGCATGGCGATGTCGCTGTACTGGCGCTGACAGATCTGAGACCTGGCCAGATCAGGTCCCATGTCACCCCACAGCTGCGCAGGGCACGCCTCACGTCCGATTGCGTCCGGTGGGTAGCCGTGTCACCCCACGGGAGGGGACGCCACACGATCCGACTGTGTCCGGTGGGTAACCGTGTCACCCCACGGGAGGGGACGCCACACGGCCCGACTGTGTCCGGCACAGACGCAGCGCCGGCCCGACACGGCGCTCACAACAACGACAGGTTCGGCAGAGGGCACAACGGAGGCAGTGCCCTCGGAACAGCGCACACAACAATAATCAAACAAATGAATACATTATATCACGTCACCGTTCAAATCTTGTGGCGCGAAAAATGACGCACTCAGTGAGAAACAATGGGTTACATCACGCAATAACAAACACGACCAGCGCAGCCGGCTCCACACGGCACCCGGCATCCGCTCGGACCGCTGAAGCAGCACCGCCACTGGCGCCCGCCCCGCAGCAGCGGTGTACTGACTGAAGTGTGTCGACGCCGCCGGCCAGCATGTGCAGGTGGTTGAGCGTGGTGACGGTCGCCGTCAGGTTACGCTTGCCCTGGTCCAGCTGCTTGATGTCGCGCGTGATCTCCTTCACCGTCTGCTCCGACAGCTCGGCCCGGCCCTTGATCTCCGAGATCTTGTTGAACAGCTGCATGATCGACTTCTGGGCCTCCTCCAGCGCCCGCTTGCCGTCCTGCCGTCGGGCGGGACAGCACAGGTCAGTTTTCCAAGCGCCCGGCGCTCCGCGTCTGAAGCCGTCTTACGAAATACAGGACTAAAACGACCAGCACAGAGCCATCGAGCTAGGCATGGAAATGATTACCAGACGCGCGAACGCACACCAATTAATGCTTCCTTGTATGCAATGGGTTATATATATATATATATATATATATATATATATATATATATATATATATATATATATGATGAGATATATATATATATTATATATATATATATATATATATATATAACGTGGTGATCTCCTTCACCGTCAGGTTCGGCAGAGGGCACAACGGAGGCAGTGCCCTCGGAACAGCGCACACAACAATAATCAAACAAATGAATACATTATATCACGTCACCGTTCAAATCTTGTGGCGCGAAAAATGACGCACTCAGTGAGAAACAATGGGTTACATCACGCAATAACAAACACGACCAGCGCAGCCGGCTCCACACGGCACCCGGCATCCGCTCGGTGAATGTATCTAAGTCGATATGCCTGACTACGGTCACGACCCCACGGGCAAAGCTCACCTGTCCGGCGTTGGTGTGCCCTCTGACCACGTTCCTGATCTCTTGGTCGATGCTGCGCACCCGCTCCGTCATCGATGAGATGACATCATCGATGTTTCCTAGCGACTGTTCGTTGGGGAACAGCTGGTTGATGTAGTCCACCACGTCAAAATCGTGGCGGTCCAACGGGTCATTGCTGGGCAAGACCTGCACAAACAAGACAAAAATGTTCACCTGGTGATACAAAAAGATACTTCCAGATGCACTACCTCATCATGTTTGAAGGATATGAACGGCAACCACCAGCCAAGGGATATAGACATCACAAGTTTGGTCAACGGAATCCCCGACGGTACTTCAGTAGATGAGCAGAACAGAGGGTACTGCCTATATCCTGTACATTATACACATATGGGTACACATATGAGTATATCCTGTAGAAACACCCGCAGCCGCAGCGGGTGTTTCTACAGAATGGTCCTTTATCAAGTCGCAAAGCTATGATAACCCCACACAAAGTCAGAAATAACGTATTTTCCCCGGCATCCCACTCACCTGCTCGATGGCAGCCAGCACCTCTGGAGGAAGGTCTATCAAATCATCATCATCAATATCTTCTGATTGCAAGTAGTTATCTGGTACCGAGAACATGGCCTTGACTATGTTTGTCCCGTCACTGGGCCCAAATCTTGATGGGTAATTTGGTAATCAGTGTTCCATAGGTTTTGTCACCACCTGGAGAGACATTTCATTGATGCATCAAAGTCAAACGCAAACAACAAAAAAACTTAACACGCAATAAAAATCGGATCGATTAGGAATATGAGTGACACAAACACGCATTCCATGACAAATCGTCCGCAAAGACATGGTGTTGGAAAACTAATCTCGGAGATTTCAACTGAAGGTATTTGTAGGATAACTTTAGATGGAAAATCCGTTCATGAAGTTCAAGCTCAATCAGATTGCCTGTTCACGAATTAAAGCCAAAGACAATGTTGTGACGTCACACAGCAAGGGCACCTTCCAACCATGTAAGAGGATCCCTCTGTGTGAGATAGTGCATCGCAAACATCGTAAAAGAACCAGAGTTTCTGACATTATTCCTACACTCTGGTGTGGGTGGCGTCACTTCCTAAGCTGAACTAATGTCACGTGATCTACTACTAGAAGTGTAGTGTTTCTTCTACTACCACCACTACTACACGACCTAAGTAGCTTTATGTGACCTGGGGCGACCTTAAGTCCTCTGACACTCAGCAACTGGACCATCCATAATTTGGCGGAGCGACATTCATCTCGAAACTGTATTTACAAATTTTTCCCGGTCTATGAGTGCTCGTTTTCCGGACCGAGATGGGGCAACACATTGACGAGAATTCCGCGATGGCTCGTCCGTCACCGACACCACGACCGAATGTACGCACGATCGAATAGTGGTGAATGCTTGTTCAATGTATGTTTGTCAGATAAAGAGCTTAACAGGAGTGTCTGATCAACACATTAATTCCAGTGGTATGGCGCAATGCCGCAATTTTATCGGAAGCCCGCATCTTGGCAAGATGGTAGTTGAGAAGGAAAAACATGAGCAGTAAGATGTGATACATCATGGATTATCGACGTCGTTCATCGTTGCAACGCCACTATTTCATCATGGTATGTGACCAATCCCAGGTATGATGGTACCTCACCGTGACTTCTTTTATGGAATCTCAGTTAAGACCGCACTACATCTTCCCCAGAGAAAGTGATGAAGCCGATGGCACTTATCACTCTCCATCTGATAGTGAAACATCACACTTGCACACAAGATTTGATCAATGAGCAGGACACTCAGCAGTGCCCTGAATATCACCCCAACAAGTGCCTGATCTATTTCACCACTGTCATGATTTGGCATGCAGGATCTGAATCAACTGCTTTAAGCACCCCATTTCCTTAAATTTGTTCAGAATCAGCCATGTTGTATATTGCCCAACATCTTATTTAAGAGAATGCAACAATATCTTTCATCTGCTCATGCATTATTGCGACAAAAAAAGATGTGTCATTAATCAGGAGCACCACAAATATCAAGGCAAGGATGAGTCATCCTGACTCCATGGATGGCACCATGAAAACCAAATTAACTATTGACTTGGTAAATAGTCAATCAAAAATTAAAAGCAGCTTTGGACTGCCAATTAAAATTTTATGGACCGTACACATTTACTTCCACTTTATTAGCTGCCATGTTAACTGTCAATGAGGCTCAATTTTCTATACCTTCTTGCTCTCTCCCAATATGGCCAAAATATATCTATGTAAAACACTTACTCAACAAGCCCTGGCCTTTAGCAAATAAATGCTTGCACTTGATCATATTTGCATACATTGTGTGAATGGTGTAAAGGTTATAGATGGAATCAAGTCAAAAGATCCATATGTTTCTTTTATTTTTATAGGCTATTTTTTATTTTTTATTTTGTTATTTTTTTTATTAATTTTAACAGGCCAATGATTCTATGGGTAAACATTTCTTCACTGAGTTACATTCCATTACAACACTTGCCACAGTGCCATGTGATCACACAGAAGCACCAAAGGGCAAAACTCATCAACCATTATTCTGACTTTACTAAAACTTCATGAAACTGATTTTGTGTATACCACTATCCAAATCACCCAAATAGATACTTGTATATCAGGCATGAAACTAAAAAGCATCATGAGCTTTGTCATTGCTTCCAGGAAGATGAAACACATTCTTAAATGAGGCCTCATAGAGACAGCAAATAGGATGGTCAAACTGACTCTCCCATCCAAACACATATTCAAGTGGTTAATCATGGTTAGGTATTAACAATATACCTGCCAGCCATCTGTATGTTTTTTTTTAACAACTGCTGCACCTCACAGCTCTGCAGTTCTGCACCAGAAATGAAAATGTACAGTGAGTTAATAAAAACACCAAAAAGACATGTCATGTTGTTGGGTGAAGTAGATGCTTATGACATGTATATGCCTTAGGGCTTCAGTTGATGGGAGCATTCCACATTTCCATGAGATTTGGAACTGATACAGCTATGAAGCCATGCCATGATAGCCATGCAATGAAGCCAGCCATGATGCAGCCTTGAAGATCATTTGGTGCAGTTCACAAACCTCCTTTTTAAGGCCTATACCCCTCTAGTTTGAGGAACACACCCACAAAGATGCACAGCCTATTTTGTGCACACTTTGTGATGAGCTAGCACTAAGTTTTTTGTGAAAGATCACCCAGGCATTCATAACACCATAAAAGCATTATTCAAATCCTGCCGCTTCATCGGCCATGCAGTGACCAAGGCCACGACAAATGTGGTTGTCATATCAGTCATATCTGGGTCTTGTGAACAAAATTTCTGAATATAATGACCGTCAATTGGCTATCACTCTATGTTGTGTAAAGCATGATATTAACTTAAATCATTTTCGAAGTAGTTTTCAAGGAATTCTTTCCCACGCTTTTTGTTCTGTTTTACCAGTCAACGAGGATGGATGTTAGCAGTTCAATGAGAGATGGCTCACCGTCCTGTCGGCGCCTGTTATCATAGCTCTCTTTACAATTGTACGCGCGATTAAGAAGCCGGAAAATTCGTTATCCATATTCTAGCCCAGCTGGAGAGAACCCTGACTTAAAGCACACACACACACACACACACACACACACACACACCTGCCTGGGAAATAGGCGGCGCAAACACCTTCATTCATCAATATCGTACACAGGTGTTTGCGCCGCTCCTTGTCTATCATGCACCAGGAAGAGCTTCGCTTATGTCTGTCGTTGTTCAGTTTTATTTTATTTTTGTTTATGCCCTTCTTGCATATAGTTTTCAAGACAATTTTGAAAAATTGATTTTGAAAAATGTCCCTTAAACCAAAGTTTAGCCATATTTTTGCCTCCAAAATATGTATTTTATTGGTACCCACTAGGGGTATAACAAACCAGCCCAAGGTAACTGCTCTCAGTAAGCAACATACGGAAGCAGATGTGACGCTGTGTTCGTTGGATTTCGCCGCTTGTTGCCGGCGTGCGAGTCCTTCGGGTAACGCGAACGTGAGCCTGCGAGGGAATTTAACGGTATTTGCAGGGCCTTTCAGTTTTTTGGGCTTATAAGGCGAGAAAGGATACCCATTTTAGACGATCTCTGTTTTGCTGTGTTATGGCTGGTAAGTTTGCCTTTGAAGTTGGGATGCGCTGGCTCGCAACCGATTATGACTGAAAGAATAAATATGATGCTTGACGGCATGTTTTTTGTGTCGTTAGTTGACATTCAGATGGCTATTGTCTGTCCCGATGAATCAGTTAGTTGGAGGGCCTGCCTCCGATCCACTCACCCGTGGTGGGGTTGATTTGAGTCATTTAAGTGTGCTCGCTATTTGGCCTTGGTGTCCTGCGGCCGGTGGCAGCAGCCGCGATAAAGGTCAAATGACGTGAGGGGGCTGGATGAATCGTGCTGAGCAATGCAGCGCGTTAAAATCCACTACCGAATTCTGCCTTTAATCTGAAATTGCATGATTGGTTGGTAGGGGCCTGAATTCACTCAACAAGCACTGCTGAGCAGAAGCTCTGAATGCAGAAATCCAATTAAAATGTTTCAATCAAATGTTTTTTTCCTGGTCAGTTATTTAATGAAATATGAACAGGATATGATAGTATATAAAACATATGTAATGTATAGAGAGAGAGAGGGGGAGACAGTGAATGAGAGGGAGGGAGGGAGGGAGGGAGGAAGGAGAGAGAGAGAGAGAGAGAGAGAGAGAGAGAGAGAGAGAGAGAGAGAGAGAGAGAGAGAGAGAGAGAGAGAGAGAGAGAGAGAGAAGACAGAGACAGAGACAGAGACAGAGACAGAGACAGAGACAGAGACAGAGACAGAGACAGAGACAGCGACAGAGACAGAGACAGAGACAGAGACAGAGACAGAGACAGAGACAGAGACAGAGACAGAGACAGAGACAGAGACAGAGACAGAGACAGAGACAGAGAGGAAGAGTTGTAGAACATCCTGATTTATGCTGTAATTTTAATCCATTAATTCAACTATGACCACACAGCAAGCCTTCTATCCTTGAAAGGTCTTGGAGGAGGGTCAAGCTTTGGGTTGATATGTTTCCAATGGTTTAGGTTTATATGTCCCCAATGTTTTTTCCAGTTTGATATTAACACCAGAATGTTGCTCATTGCTGTTTACTATGTGCTATGAATCTATAAAATAATCATAGTAAATGCTATATTGGTCATGTTAAATCATTTCAGGATGGGCGATGGCACATGCAATGGTAAGATTTAAGGAACCACTGAAGAAGCTGCCCTTAGTAGTAGTGTTGCATGGACAAGGATATAATCAAGAAATAAAGAAATGAGTTGATAACATCGCATGATAGGTTAACATTCTTCAGACTAGATTGGGGGTTATGTTTTAAAGTTTACAATGGAAAACTGGCCTGCCTGACTGATACACTTAATGCACATTTTGTCCATATTTTAAGGCTTGTTAAATGTGATGCATCCTTAAATTTGATCTTTTTTAACTGTGCTTGATCCTTAACTGCACTGGCCCCACTTCATGTGGTCATGTGGTCATACCCATCTGTGATGTTATGATACAGTGTCTCAGAGGGCAGCAGCTGGGTGAGGATTTGCCTGGTGTCCTGTTCACATATTTCGACCCTGGTTGAGATTGTTTGGTAGTCTGTGGTAGTTGTGAAATATGCTGTTGCGCACCTTGTTTCTAGCCAACATCATTTTGACACTGCTAATGGCACTTGTTTTTTCAGAGGGTGATGATCAACAGAAATTAAGATTCCAGGTTGAACTAGAATTTGTCCAATGTTTGGCTAACCCAAACTACCTGAACTGTAAGTAATTTATTGGGTAATACTTAGAAAGGATTGGCAATTAACTTGCCATGGACATTCCAAAAATATGTCTACCATTATAATTTCTTTACCGATGCATGGTAGCTTGCATCACTGAGTTGTTACAGATCTAATAACTGATTTTTCCATTGCATTTACTCTGAAAATCAGTGATGCCTCAGAATGTCAGATTGTGATTATAAAAGATCAGTTTGATGTAATGCAACTATCAGCACAGTTGCATGCACAACATCAGTTCAACAAAACACACTGTATATTTGCAGTCCTTGCTCAGCGGGGATACTTCAAGCAGCAAGCTTTCATCAATTACCTCAAGTACTTGAAATATTGGACAAAGCCAGAGTATGTCAGATACATAAAGTAAGTACTGATTCTTTAAAACATTGTATTGTGTAAGAAAGTACACAAGCTAGTGGTTTTTGATGAAAATGAGGTAGAACCATCCACATATTGTCATCAGACCTGAAAGCTTGTGGTCAGTATTGTTCATTTAACACATAATACATCATGTTTGCCAGTATATTCCCACAATGATTGAATTATAAATCCATTGCCATCTACCTTACCAGTGTTCCTGGACAGCTTTGTGTAGAGTATCCCATTGTGGCTTGTGCATGTAATAAGAAACAGCTCACCATTGTTTAGTTTCGGACACCACTGTGTTGGGGGCTTGTAATGTGGCGTTTGTTTGCACACCATGGTAATCCTGAATCCATTGCATCATGAGCTGAACATAGAGCTACCTACACCCACCCACCAGTGTGATTATGTTTGTGATGATAATGATGAATGATTTTTGTGTAAGATGACGGAGATTCGGGCCTACCAACATCTTACGCCATTGAGCGAGAAGCCGCAATGGATGCACACATCACTGGTGTTCCCCATCTGCTGCAGGTACCCAATGTGCCTGCACTTCCTGGACCTGCTGCAATACGAGCACTTCCGCAAAGAGCTGGTGAACTCGCAGTGCGCCAAGTTCATCGACGACCAGCAGATCCTGCACTGGCAACACTACACGCGTCGGCGTACCCGCCTGCTGGCCGGCGAGGGCTCACCCACGCCCGTCGGCAGCAGCACGCCCACGGTCTGAGGTGGCCAGCCGGACCCGGTGCCCAGTGCGGCCGGGTCACGTGTCTTCCACAGTCGCCGTGAGAGCGGCAGCGACTGCGATCCGCCAACGCGGCGCAGGTCTTTAACAGCGTGAGCACGCGTTACCCCGCGTCTTCCTCCCTTCCACTGTAATCCAGTACAGCGCCAGCATAGCAGCGCAGGCTGGGCGCACACAGGACGTCGGGCGCCGAGAGTATGGCGGAGCCAGTGCTGCTCAGCTACCACGACTCGGTGCTGCACGAATCAGACGGCGAGCTGCTACAGGGGCCGCACTGGCTCAATGACAAGCTGATCCAGTTCTACCTCAACTACCTGGAGCACGCCGCGTTCCCCGCCGCCGGGCTGGCGTTCGTCGGGCCGGATGTGACGCAGTTCGCGCGGCTCTGCGCCGAGAGCGAGCTGGCCGCCTTCCTGGCGCCGCTGCGGCTGGCCGAGCGGCGCGCCGCGCTCTTCATCATCAACGACTGCGAGCGGCCCGACGCGCCCGGCGGCACGCACTGGAGCCTGCTGGTGACCGTCGGCCGCCGCTGCCTGCACTACGATTCGCTCGCCTACGGCAACCAGCGCGAGGCGCGGCGCATGGCGCGCCGTCTGGCGCCGCTACTCGGCCTCTCCGGCAAGGTGGAGGAGGCCGCCTGCGGCTGCCAGCGCAACGGTTACGACTGCGGCGTGTTCGCGCTCTGCCACGCCGAGGAGGTGGCGCGTCGGCTGAGCGGCGGCAGCGACCTGCGGCACGTGCCCGTCAGCCAGGAGCGCGTCGACGAGATGCGCGCGGACATGCTGCGCCTCATCCGGAGCCTGGCCGCGAGGTGAGGCGGCGCGGGAGCGCAGCGCGTGTGCGGCAGAGAGGCGTTGGCAACCGGAGACGCGGACCGGACGGGCGGCTGGGCGTGGCGTGTGTGTGCCGACCGCGGTGAGCTGCTGACCGGCATGATGACTTGTTTTGTGTCCGGCGAATGCTGGATGGTCGCCTCCAGGAGAGGCTCTCCCTGGTCAAGAGTCGGCTGCTGGCGAACGGCGGTGGTGCCGTTGCCCCTGGCAGACTACTGCCAAATACTCAGTACTCAACCTGGCCTGGGCGCCGCTTGCTGTGCAACTGCAGTCTGGTTCATTTTGTGAATAAAAGGCTGTAGTTGGGTGTTCTGTATACCATGCGTTTACATCTCGTACAAAACGGCAACAGTTACACCGTAAGATTCGCTAATCTTTGATTGTATACGCTAGCCGGTCAGATCCGTCGGGCCGCTGGGCACGCGAGCAATCGCGGCCTGTCAGCGGCACTACCGGGGGGTCGGCCACGGGCTTCCGCTGGTGGTCGTTGTACCGGCGCGGGTGGGCCGCCCTCCCACTAGGCGGCGGCCATGCTCTCCCTCATCTGCGCCACCTGCTTGAGCACGGCCGTCCGGCTGGTGCCGCCCTCGGCCTGGTACTGCTCCACGCTCGCCTCGAAGCTCCAGATGGACGCAACGTCGGCGCCGAACGCCGCGCTGGAACGCGCCGCCACAGCATTCGTCAAAAACGGAATGGACGAGGTCAGGCTGAGACGGTGTAAAAATCTGCCTGCGAAGTATAATACCCATGGAAAATAAGCGATTGGAAATCAGATGTTGAGACGACAATGTTAGGTACGCCAAGGTTAAACAGACGAAAATCACGACCGCTTCAAGCGAATCACCGCACCAGGATAACTTCCAGTGCCGTGCAGATAATACGCGGGAGAACTACGCGAGCGTGTGCGCACGCAGGCACTCTCATACATTGGTCGTAAGCTCGCCGCCCACCTGATGCCCTGGAAGTCGTCCAAAGACAGCTGGCGCATCGGCACCCCCTTGGCCTCGGCCAGAGCCACACACTTGCCGGCCAGGTTGTGCGCCTCACGGAATGGTACCTGCGGCAGATACGGTGCCGTGTTATGCTCGAGCTCATCGGTGGACTGGGAATCACTCTGCCGTACGGGGGAGGTTTGGCTGCAACGACGCTGTGTACACTTGCGTGCCGTTTAAATCGTCTGATGCTCACGCTTAGCCGCCAGACATGTTCACGCCCAGCCGCCAGCCGCCAGAGCCTGCACTTTGGCCGGTACCCAGTCACAAGGCTGTAGCGAAGCGTCCACATAAATCGCGCGGTGGCGTCACAGGTGGCGGAGAACGGGCAGGGGCTGCCGGCGACTGGCGCGAGCTGTTCTGCCGCATGTGCGGGTCCTCACGTTTTGTCTGACGAGGTAGTAGGCGACGTCGGTGGCGAGCATGCCCTCAGACAGCAGCTGGCGACATCTGTCGGCGCTCACCGTCATCGTGGAGACGACTCCGGTCATGACACGGATCACCCCTGCCGGAGCGGCCGCGCGCGTGACGCTCCGCACGCGCACGCGCTGGCCTCGGTCATCTCTCGTGGTTGGAGCTAATAGTTCTTGACTCAGTGCGACGTAAGCGATGATCTACCAATATGGGTGCTTGATATAAATATGATCATCCCAGTAATATAATGTACAGTGCGTCTCCGAAACGTTCTTAAACATAGCGTAGCTGCCGCCGAATACCGGTGACATTGTCCGCAGAGTCGAATAGCAGCTCCTTATCCTCCTGGAAGTCCTTGTTGTAGGTTGACGGCGTGCCCTTCAGCGCCGTCATCAGGCCGACACAGTTGCCCAGGAAGCGACCGGCCTTGCCCCGAGCCAACTCCAGCCCGTCCGGGTTCCTGAGGTTCACACCGGACCGATTTAGCGCGCCGTGACGCCGGCTCGGTAGGCCGCTTGCCAAGCAGAAGGGCAGATCCGGTAAACGCCTGCTGTTGGATGCTCTATCTTGGGCGCGGCGAGCACGTCCACGTCGTCGTGTGAGGCATGCACCGAGAAGCGATGAACTAACCGACTAAAATGTTATGAAGCGCTTGTATCCACCAATGGACCGGAGGTCCGCGTTCTCAAGAAGCCTGAAGGACAACGCGTCGACTCTGATAACAAGTAAGATTATTTCATTGAGTGATTTGGCATTGGCTGAAACCGTAGCATTCCAACAGGGCGCGGGCTTGGCGATCGTGCATCCATGAAAAGGTCGTGCATCTAAACTATCTCGTCGCATCTGCCTCGAGTGCTGGGCAACCCCCGTTGCGAATGACCGCCATGCTACTGCTGGTGTCACGTGCAGCACTAGCGTCTGGGCATGAAGACCTGGTGACGGGGTGCCGGTAGTATAGTGGTTAACGTGTCTGCGTTAACCATTGCGCGTCTGGGAAACCAGAGGTACGGGGTTCGATTCCCCGCGGTGCCCGCCCTTCCTGCCAGGGTGACAGGTAGGCGACGCCATATAGCCTCAGCAGCTGAGCGCGTCGTAAAGCCCCAATGACACACACAAGCCCTGGTGACACCGCGGCCGTTGCGGTTCGACGACGGACGCCCAGAGCCGGCCCTCAGGACTGACTCACCTCTTCTGCGGCATGAGCGAGCTGCCGGTGCTGTAGGCGTCAGCGATGTGCACCAGGCCGAAGGTGGGCGTGGAGAAGATGATCAGGTCCTCGGCCAGCCGCGAAAAGTGCGTGCCCAACAGCGACACCCAGAACAGGAACTCGGCTGGTGGTGACGGGAGGAAGCGTCACGTTCAGGCGGGCCGCCAGCGAGAGATGTTCCCGAGATGGTGTTATAACTCAATTGCCGTGCCAGCAGTAGCGAGCTCTTCCAATGGTTACTAAATTTGCCAGAAATCCCGTTTGTTACACGACCGATTCTTCGTAGGAAGGGTGTGTTTTGGGGCTTTGCCAGTGTTGCTACAGACAACTTCCTAGGGGGTGGATCTTTGCCACTCAGCAAGGCTCTGCGCAACGCCTTGCACCGCAACGAAAAGTTATTTAGAACAAAGCCAGGCAGGAAAGTTCTGCATTTATGGGGTTAAAATTGACACCAATTTCCCAAACTTCTTTCAACGTGCAAACGAGGACACTGAGACGTTTCATCGACTAATGGAGCGTCCCCGTCTCTCAGCTTTCTGCGACCCTTCGAAGTCACACAAGCGCGGCGGGGTGCGGCTCGGCCACGGCGCTGCCGCCCGGTGCGGTCCGCATCGTCTCCCACCGATGTAGTCGCGGTCGCTGACGGCCAGCATGCTATTGGGCGTGACGGCCGTGAAGCCGAGCTCGGCGGCGAGCGCGGCTCGATCCACCGCGAACGGGTTGCCGGCCAGGGCTCCGGAGCCCAGCGGACAGCTGTCCACGCGCTGCGTCAGCTGCTGCAGGCGGCGCAGGTCGGAGCGGAGGAACCAGGCGTGGCTGCCGACGCCGGGGCGGCCATGAGCCGCTGCACCACCATAACAGCGGCACGGACTACCGCCTGAGCACCTGACCAGTTTTGGCATGCAGGGTGCCTGTTCATTCCGTGTACAAGGCAATGCCATTTCTCGCCGTCATTAATGGTAAATCGAAGCAACGACCATCCGCGAACAATGCACCAGACCCCATACGTGACTGTGAGGGAGCGCCCAGTCTGCGAGTAGCTGACCTCATGAGCCAGTGGCTCCACCTGACGGGCTGTGCCGGCTGCAGGTGCGTGAAGCCCGGCATCAGGATGTCCACCTCCGCTTCCGCGCGATCCGTCAGCGTCTACGGATACCGCGCCGCCATCAGCGCGGACCGCAACACCATCACGCGGCAGGACGTGCCCGCTGATAGCTCAAGGCTAAACATTCGCTGAGAGAACACTTAAGTGATAAACCGCAACCTTATCAGTTTATTTAACGAAGGGGATTCCCCCTGTCCATCGACGTTCGATCCAGAGGACGCTCGAACGACAGCAGCTGTTCCCCGGCAACGCCCCGTGCGGTGTAGCAACTCACGGTGATCATCTCCCGCAGCAGCGGCTCCAGCTGCTCCTCGACGACACCCCTGTGCAGTGTAGCTACTCACGGTGATCATCTCGCGCATCATCGGCTTCAGCTGCTCCATGGCGGCACCCCTGTACAGTGTAGCCACCCACAGCGATCATCTCGCGCATCATCGGTTTCAACTGCTCCATGGCGGCACCCCTGTACAGTGTAGCCACTCACGGTGATCATCTCGCGCAGCAGCGGCTCCAGCTGCTCCTGAATGACATCCCTGAGCCACAGCCGGGTGTCGACGGCCACCTGGTCGTTGCGGCTGCGGCCGGTGTGCAGCTTGGCGCCGGGCGCGCCCACCAGCTCGGTCAGGCGCCGCTCGTTGGCCGTGTGGATGTCCTCGTCCGAGGGCCGCACCTCGAACGAGCCGGTCTCCCACTCGGACAGGACCTGCGGCGCACCGCCGACCGCCGCCATATTGGGATACGCATAGTGCAGATGTCACCAAGCGCGCCCTTTGATGGATCGCAAGGGTGCTCAGTCACCAAGGCGATATTTTACCCTGCCACTAGCGAGCATGGAGGAGCTTTTTTTCGGCAGCCAACAGAGAAGCACAATAAAATGTCAATAGCTTTGATAGCTATCCGCCTTTCCCGGGGAGCATACACCGCAGTCTCGTTTGAGGAATCCATCAGCGTGGCTGGGGATCATTTGTAGGAACACTGCACATATTCAGTCATAGATTATGAAAGGGCAACAGTACCTGGTCCAACCCACGCTGAATTTGTGTCTCCTCCTCCCTGGTCAGAAGTCCAGCCTTCTGAATGGCAGAAGCGTAGGCCTTGCTGCCCTGGCCGGAAGGAGACGTTGATTAGCACTATTGGTCCTCAGATTACATTAGTTGATATCGATCCCGAAAAAGACCTGGCATATATGTGCATATATATTACATAACGATCTCATTGCGTCCTGCTTCATATCAAGATGCTCTGATTATAAAACATTTACTTATGCTCCTTATAGTAATTTCCGACACGTTTCAGCTAACGACTACAACACCAGGCGAATTCGCATTCAGCAGAATTTAGGTAAATGTATCTCGACCAAATAATTACTGCTAAACCTGACCCCTCCCCAATGCGAAAACATTCTTTTGCATCCAATACTCCAGTCTTGACTCCCAAATTCAGTACCTCAGGCAGGACATATTCCTACCTCAATTTGAGAATCTTTGTCTTTATACCTAGCAAAACGACCAACATCACGTCACAAAACGTACCGCATGACTTCGTCATACCCATACACATAGAAAACTATGATAAAGTGAAATACAGCTATGTGCTTCTGTAGTATTTTCATTTGGGATATGTCGTGTGTGCGTGTTATAGTTCATGGTGTACGTGTTTGTTTTGCCTGACCACGCAGCCGTTGTTTGCTGTGCAACTCGTGTTAAGCTCAGATACACACACACACATACATAAATGAACGCACTGTCTACAATTAAACGATTCTCACTTATAAAACTGCTCATAAGTGCAGGACATACACAGCAATTGCACTCGTTTCGATGTTTTGCGAGCAACGCGGTCACAACGCTAGAAGTTCATGTATATCCCCGATTTCTTGGTACCACAGCGCCATGACAGCTTTGGTTTGCAGTCGGAGCCGGAGCGCGTCTGCGATCCCGCCGGCTGTGAAGGCGCGCTGGCATCTCTCTCGGACGCCTGTGTCGTAAGCCCCAGCAGAATGTGCCTGTTTATGTTCTGGAAAGCCACGACGGCAGGCGGGGCCGAGCGGACTGCAGGCGGCAGAGGGCGAGTCCCAGTCGCAGCGGGTCCTCCCCCCCCCCCCCCCCCCCCCCCCCCTCCCGGCCCGCGCGACCCCACCTAGGCGCCTATGAACAGTCCAGCGACACTCATCGGGCAGTTCGCCAGACCTGACATTCAGTCGGTCAAACCCAAACACCCGGTGGAATCAGACTACTGCCAGATGGAAACACAGCGGGTGCTGCCACATCGGCCACCCGTGACCCGGTGACAGGGCCAGCCCCAATGGAGGCCAGGAGGCCCGGACGACAGCAAGCGACGTTCGCGGAACGGCGTGTAATAAAAAAATGTTAACACCCCGGGGTCACACTCGACCGCCGTTCAGCGAGACTGGACAATCATCAGGAGCAGCACGGTCCGGAAAGATGCTTGAATGAAAAAGGTTGTGTTTGAACGCGACTAGATGAAGGTCCGTTTTGTGCCGAACACCTGAGTATGGTGTCATCTCATGGTGTCTGGATGTTACAGTGACCACCATGCTTGGTGTCATGTAATTAACGTGCCAGGAGGAAGTCGCACCAAGTAAATTGCTAACAACATGGCTTCCGTAAGTTTTTTTTATCCATTCCCCCAGCATACGATAACTTTTGAAGAGCACGAAATTAGCCGCCCAATATTGAGAACGACGCCTTTAGAGCGGGCATGACACCCTCGTAAAGAGTCGTCTAGCGCGTGCCAGAGAATCTGCGTATGCCATGTTGCGCCTGTTGCTCGTTCCTTGTGTCCAGCTGCTCGCGGGTGAAGCAGATCAAGGAGTCCCAGACATTAAAGAACAATACCTCATCCACTAGCTCGGTTCTGAGTATGCCATGGAATAATATTGTCAACACAAATATTGAGAATGTATTATCGCACTTTCAATAAAGCAACATGAAATATTGACATAGCTTTGACGCACCCTCTACATCATCGCCAGCTCCTGTGCGTGTATCATTGTGCATATATTTGCTGCACAATGATCTTTTTGCACTGCAAGTAGATGATGCCTAGCCATGTGTAATATGGACGTGCGAATGTGCCAGAAACGAGCTGCCATGGCAACGCGATCAGGACAATTTTGTTACATTATATCATGTAATGAGCGACAAACAAGCTTCAACTTGTCCTTCCACTCAGCGACGCCCAGGGGAGCCCCATCGAATGCTGCACTAAGCACAGCCCTATCAGTATCCGCAGCGCCCGCGTCACTGCTCCTCATTGCCATTGCAGAAGCCGAAATAGCTTGCTGTAATTTATTAAACTTATTGAAGGGAGTGTTCCACATTTGCATGAGCTTTGAACTGAAAAAGCCCTCTTGAAAAGCATTCGGCGTAGTTCACAGCCCTGCCCTTCCTAAGACCCAAACCCCGCTAGTTTCTGTGTTACGCGCCAGCAAAGGTGTGCGGACTTTTTCGTGCAGACTACTTCAAGGTCACATAAGCATCCATGACCCCATAATTACGTCGCTCGAATCCTTGACAATTGGCCCTCAATCACTGTTGAGCAAGGTGCGATCACGCGATCAATGTATGATGTGTTAAGAAGCATATTTACTAAAATGAGAAACTGCGTCGTCTAGAGCGGTGTTTTCACTAAAAATATACCAATAGTTATAACTGAGCTCATTTCATCGCATCTTATGCTTGCTCCAAGATCTTCCAATGCGGAGCATTCCCGTAAAGCAGAATGCGCCTCGCATTAACAAAACGCAAAACAATCAATACATACCGCGCGCCTGACCCCTGCCCGACCCCTGGCAAACTCTTGAATGTCTATCTATCGGCTACGTTTTCCCCGTCCTGACCGATCAGCACATGGATGCGGGATATGACCAGTCCTCCATAGCGATGTTCATTGTATGCCACAATATAATTTTGACCACATAAGTTACATCGGCTACGAGGGCCCTGTTTTAACTTCCCTTTCCTCCGAGCAGAACTGCTGGCTTCGCCACTGGTCCCGGCTCACCTGTCTGGTCCTGTCGGACATGTCTCTCACCTTGATGTCCTGTCGGTACACATCCATCACCTCGAAGTCCTCTGGGTACATGCCCCTCGCCTTGATGTCCTGTTGGAACATGTCCCTCACCTTGATGTTCGTGTTAACATGCCCCTCACCTTGATGTCCTGTCGGTATATGTCCCTTGACTTAATGTCCTGTCAGTAAATGCCTCTCGTCTTTATGTCCTGTCGTTACATATTCCTCACCTCGATGTCCTCTGGGTACATGCCCCTCACCTTTATGTCCTGCCCTTACATGTCCCCCACCTTGATGCCCTGTGGGCACATGCCCCTCACCTCGATGCCCTGTCGGTACATGTCCCTCACCTTGATGTCCTGTCGGCACATGCCCCTCACCTCGATGCCCTGTCGGTACATGTCCCTCACCTTGATGTCCTGTCGGTACATGTCCCTCACCTTGATGTCCTGTCGGTACATATCCCCTACCTTGATGTCCTGTGGGCACATGCCCCTCACCTTGATGTCCTGTCGGTACATGTCCCTCATCTTGATGTCTGTCACTACATGTCCCTCACCTTGATGTCCTGTCGGTACATGTCCCTCACCTTGATGTCCTGTCGGTACATGTCCCTCACCTTGATGTCTGTGGTACATCCCTCACCTTGATGTCTGTCGGCACATGTCCCCTCACCTTGATGTCCTGTCGGTACATGTCCCTCACCTTGATGTCCTGTCGGTACATATCCCTCACCTTGATGTCCTGTGGGCACATGCCCCTCACCTTGATGTCCTGTCGGTACATGTCCCTCACCTTGATGTTCTGTCGGTACATGTCCCTCACCTTGATGCCCTGTCGGTACATATCCCCTACCTTGATGTCCTGTCGGTACATGCGCCGGTCGTAACGCAGCGATGCGTTGAACTTGTCCATCTCGGGGTCCACCGGTCCGGTGAACCGGCCTCCCCACAGCTTGCCTGCCTCCCCTGCGCTAGCCATGACCTGGCTGTCATTCAGAGATCAGGGTCAGGTCAGGACTGACGGACTAGGAGCACGTTTGACGCGTTCGCCCCAGGGTCAGCGCAGCAGAGAGAAGACTGAAAAAGACTGCGACAAAACCGGCGGGAGGCGACACATTCAGTGGGATGCGTACGACGTCCTGGACTTGTGCTACGTCCGATTGCACACAAGTAGAGTCTGGTTATCAACAGTGAACTCGACCATACTTACGACTGCGTGTAAACTGCACTTCGGTGATCATCTGCACCTTACCAAGATACAGCTCGCCATACGGCCTCAACAGCTGATTGCGTCGTAAAGCCCCCCCCCCCCCGCCCCAGATGTAACTCGGCGAGCATGCGGTACCCAGTGTGGCCTCAGCCAGGGTCATAACCAGAATTTTCTTTTGGGAGCGGAGGGGGGAGCGGAGCTCAGTGAGGATGCGTACGTTGATTTATTTCTGATAGAAGCTGCTTATAGCGCCAAAACAAAGATGCGGGCCAAACAGCGGGGGGAGCGCCCCACCTTTGACTGCGCATCCGGCCTCAATTAACTACTGCCGGAGAGCGGCACGGACTTCTCACCGTGTGTGCAGCTGGTATCGGTGTCGCGGCCGCAGCTGACGTCTGTCCAGCAGATGCGGTTGGTGAGTGGCGCAGAGACGCTCTCCCAGGATTTTTAAGCGCGCAACCCTGCCGCCACCCCGACCGCACGCCTGGCACTGGCTCGCCACGCCCCCCGCGCACTGGTTTTCATGCAGCCACGAGCCTGCCAAGGTCAAACAAGGGCAGACGAGTCGCCTGTAGCCGCAGAAGACGTCCGAGTCAGCGGAGGCCGTGGCGGGGCGCGGGAAGGTCATGCGCGCAGGGCCGCTGGAGCAGGCGGGGGGAAGGGGAGGAGAAAGGGGGGGGGATACTTCGTGGAATGATATAGGGCAGCGGCGTCAAAGACAGAAAGCGTGAAGTTTGTGTATCCCTCAGTGGCGAAGGCGTGGGGAGCACGGGGACACCTACTCCCGTTCCTTAGATACCGAGGGGCCCGAAAGTTTTCTCGGGACCTATGATTAACGCCATGAAAGCTTTAAACACTACTAGACAAGAAGATATGCCAACATGAAGCTATTATACCGCGAACAAGTGAAACGTCGTAACATGGCTTTTGATTTCTCGTTTATGGCGCTCACCACAGTGTCTCTTTTCGAAGTGCACTTTGGCTTTTGGAATGGGAGCATATCACATGGTTCATGGTGGCACGTTTGTTCAAACTTCAACTAATGCGCTCTCAGAAACAAGCCCTTGCCTCCCGCTTGGCCAACCACAAACGTTCTTTTAACACCAGTAGAGGTACCACGGTGGTTGTCATGGCGACGGCGATCGAGACAGCTGCATATAAGAGCCCTAGCCCTGTTACAAAGCGTGGGCCTAAAGCGTAATTTGGACTTTAAAACAATTAAACGTGATATTCATGTTATGTCTTGACGATGGTGCGTGGCACTACCCAGTGCTGTTATTAGACGTAGCTGGTCCCGAGGTTTGAAGTGAGCATGTCTTTTTTAATATGCTCCAAATGTGGGACGCTCCCTTTAATAACCCGATCTAGATATCCCTTTTAGGACTTCCCTTTAAGCCATAGGCGTAAGAACGTTTCAGAAAATGTGGAGGGGGGGGGGGAGCAGGCTCAGCGTTGCTTTAAGAGTTTTCTGTGAGGCAAGCCCGTTGACGGGGAGGGAGGGAGTAGAGATGGAGGTTATTGTCCGCTCTTAATTCACAGAACCTATTTTGGGAATAATTAAATGTCATTGTTGCCATGATAGATATACATCCACAGTCGCTTTTCACTGGTGCGCAATGGTGCCTTTCCGACTCACCTACGTAGTTCGGTGAATAAGGCTGTCCGGATTCCCACGATTATTCGTCTACAAGTTGGACAGCCGTGATAGCCTTATTCCTCGGAGAAAACCAGGCGAAAGGAGATATAGATGCATTGATATTTCGGCAACATGCCGTTGTCGAAACGCATAGCAAAACTGGATAAAATTGCCTGTCAATGATCCTACTCGATTTTTCAGATTTTTGTCTGAAGCAGAAAGCTACAGTTTTTACAGGACACCAACATCCAGGGGATGAAACAATGAGCAATGGCCAGCCGTTACTGCGATACAGTACATATCTAAGAATTAGAATACGCAAAAAAATGCTACCCCCTCCCCCATAGGCCTACTGGCTTCAATTATGGCAAAAATTCTTCACACCTCCTCTTTCCGATCACAAAGGAAGTCAGCATCGCATTTGCTTCACACTCTCTCAACCAGAAAGCTGCATCGACAATTTTCCTTATCACCCGTTTTGATCTCTTGGATACGCCATGAACTTTAAGTTGGAAATCGCGCCACAGAATATTGATCTCGAAGTCCAGTGGAACCTCATGGCAGAGTGTCAGTGCCACCCGACACGACCCCGCAGTTCAAACCAGATGAATTCATAAACTTCTCCGAGCATTTATCTAAACGAAAGAAGCTTATCTATGTGATATGTCGTGTCGTGCCACCAGGATATGAGTGAAAGTACAGCCGCAATGTAGCTTCAGCTTTACCGTAATATTATTGGAAGAAGGGCGCGTGAGCCCTTGCCACGGCCTTTGCCGGTGAAAATGTCAGTCGGTGGAACTGACAGCTTACAGATAAGCGGGACAACGACTCGAGCCGAACTCATCGTGACGCGGCGCACGGTAATCTAGCGGTCCCGTGTTCAAGCATCGGTTCGACTCCACCCGGTCACCAGCGGCCGCAGCGGCGATCATCGGTTCGCCACCAGCCACCAGCGGCCTGCAGCGGCGATCATCGGTTCGCCACCAGCCACCAGCCGCTGCAGCGGCGATCATCGGTTCGCCACCAGCCACCAGCGGCCGCAGCGGCGATCATTGGTTCGCCACCAGCCACCAGCGGCCGCAGCGGCGATCATCGGTTCGCCACCAGCCACCAGCGGCCGCAGCGGCGATCATCGGTTCGCCACCAGCCACCAGCGGCCGCAGCGGCGATCATTGGTTCGCCACCAGCCACCAGCGGCCGCAGCGGCGATCATCGGTTCGCCACCAGCCACCAGCCGCTGCAGCGGCGATCATCGGTTCGCCACCAGCCACCAGCCGCTGCAGCGGCGATCATCGGTTCGCCACCAGCCACCAGCCGCTGCAGCGGTGATCATCGGTTCGCCACCAGCCACTAGCCGCTGCAGCGGCGATCATCGGTTCGCCACCAGCCACCAGCCGCTACAGCGGCGATCATCGATTCGCCACCAGCCACCAGCCGCTGCAGCGGCGATGGTCGGTTCGTCACCAGCCACCAGCGGCCGCAGCGGCGGTATCCTGCATATGTCGGGCCCAGTGTTGGAACCGGCAGCGATTCCCAGCTATTCCATGCGATGCCAGACACCACTGGTGGTCCCATTACGCCTTCAGCAACGTGCTTCGTCTTCCTCGGTATGAAGAGTATGAGGCAGCCTTATTGGGTGCTCCATGTATTGGTGCATCCGTGGCGAGTGGCGGGCAGGCAGTATGGTAACAGGTATAGCACGACAGGCACATGAAGCACATGAAGCACGACCAAAGCGGCACAGTGACATCTTGACGAAGAAATGGTAGATTGCCGTCAAATGCCATTGACTGGTGGCGCCGTGAAAAAGCTCCAACTGGCACAGCCTTGACTTAAACGCAACTTGCAGTCGCGTGATTCGTTTCGTCGCGTGTCCCACCTATCCTATCACGAGAATCTCTGCGCACGTCTCGGAACTTCGGGGTTCGGTCTCTACCGACCTCTGGCCGAATGAGATAGTGGTCACAGTCACAAGATCGCGGCCTGCGAGTCATGACTCCCAGTCTGGTCACCTACTCAACTCAGTCCTGGTCCACCAGAGGCTTCGCATAAACGATCGCGCTGAAATGCAAACAAGCCTGCATTACCGGGTCTGCCCACATCATCATCTGGGAGCACGCGGTGCCCGATCCAAGCATCTATTCAAATGACAATGAGACTAACAGGCCCGGGCGCACTGCGTCCTGTAGCCACGCGCGAGGCTGGCAGAAGAACTTCCCAAGGTTCGCTCCTTAAGTCAGTAGCAGACCCTCCAGGGGCACCTGTCGACATTGACGCCAGGGTGACGGAGCTTTCGTGACTTCAGGTCGCTCGCGCCCAGCGCGGCTTAAAGGCTCACTCACCAGCATCTAGTCGCGGAGCGGATCTGCCGCGGGGAATATAGCTGAGTGCAACACACTGCCTGAACATTCTACCCAATGATCGCCTTCTGACGAATGCGGCTTCACAAGCCTGTAATAATCGCTCCAGATACAAAATTAAAAAGTTCCTTATTAGAACGCGACACGTTGCACGATCCTGCATTTGGGGCGCGTCGCATCACAGAGAGCGAGCCGCGACGAGACAGTCTGCACACGGAAAATGGCGCTGCAGCAGTTACTGGCCGACGACAGAGACAAGCGCAAGACGGACTCCGTCCTGTCGCAGAGAGTCACAATCCAGACAAGGGCCGCGATACGGCGCAGTTGGCGGCGCACCCTCCAAGATCAGGAGCGTAGTGAATAGGTAACATAGGTAAAATAACACGACAGGTAACGAGGCGAAACATCGAGATCGTACATGCGGCTTAGTAGACAGCTCACCACACCATGCGCGTCACTCGGCCTGCAGCCTGGCGGCCGCAGCGTCCTCGATCGTATTCCGCTTAGTTGAAGTGCCAGTAGGGAGGGAGGTGGTGCGGGTTTTAGAGCTAGCGAACAGAGCGAAGGTTCTACCGTCGGCCTGCCGCTGGCCACAGCAGCGCCACCAGCGGCAGCATCCCCAACTATCCAGGTGGCGTCGGATGATCTTGCGCGTCCTGCCGCGCATGGTGAACAGCAGAAAAATGAAAAACCCCTGCAGACTGTTGATCACGTCTGTTATGTACCTGCAACAGAGAGCATTCACGTTGTTTTAGGCCATGCCCTTTTTCCGAGTTGCAACACGTGTTTAACTAGCCTACATTGCGTGCTGGGTGGTCGCAATGAATGCGTAATGCGCCAAAGATAATCCACGAAGTCAATGCCGCTGAGCCACTGAGCATACGAAGCATGCTAGTTGTTGACCCATGGCATTTGATCAAGGCTGTATGGACGGCGGCACTCCTCCTCACGGTGTTCTTCACGCTACCGTTTTCCTCAAGGCTTATCCAGCACACGCCATCCCCATTACGCCTTCCATCTTTCTCGTTGTTGCAAGCAAGGCCGCAGGCCCAGTGCATCCTACTTAATAACAATATGCATTCTGGTTTGAGCGAGCCGATCCGGCAGCCACGCCTCCTGGAGACCAAGATCTTTGCGAACAACAAGCGCACCTTCAAGACATTTTCGGCGGCGTGAAGTGCAATTCAAATCTTCTTCGTTTGATTAGCGTGGGGAACTTCGCCATTTTGTCACAGTAGAACGCTGCACTACACCGGCGAGACCAGGCCCAGATCTTACTAACCCTGGGCCGCACCACTACCAAACCCATGCCATATCACGGAGAGCAGAACAGACCGCTGTGCAGATAAAACGGAAGGGGGTAAATGTGCGCAGACGATCGCCTGTACGAGGGCGAACCTGCACCGGCCGTTTCTGGCCGTTTATGGTGTTCATGTCAGAAGTAACCCACATTCCATAAAGACGTGACAACGTCAGCCGCGCCTCGTATGTGGATGCGCTGTGTCTCGACTACCAAGCGATCCCAACACTGTAAAGCCTACGGATGCGTCAACGATCAACGGGGAAACGGCCTACGCGACTTGTTCGAAGCCGTCTCGTATGCAGCATGCTGGAGCCTAAGCTGAGCGAGAATAGACCAAGAATACAACGCCACCAACACATGGGCATGCTATTCTGTTCATCGCGATCAATACCCCAATGACGTTTTAATTTCCTACAGCGCTTTGGTCACGACATCAAAGACGTTAGCAATAAAAAATGCATGAGCTACCTGCGGCTGAAATTGCCGGGCTTGCCCAAGCCTCAGACCAGCCAAAGGTTGTGGCTGAAATTACTGGACCTGCTTTAGTCTGAAACCAGCCAAAGGTTGTGGCTGAAATTACTGGACTTGCTATAGTCTGAAACTAGCCAAAGCTTGTGGCTGAAATTACTGGACCTGCGATAACCCAAAACCAGCCAAAGGCTGTGGCTGAAATTACTGGACCTGCTTGAGTCTGAAATCCAGCCAAAAACGGAAGCTTCATCAGTTAACGTCAACCTGCTGAACTTTCACCAAAGAAATAAACTTTGCAATGCATTGATCAAGCCTGCATTTCTGCGAGTCCCCGAAAGTGCTGGCTCCGTTAACCTAGATTTCAGGAAGTGTGTATAACAACTGATCACTTTCAGGCGCGTTGTCAAACCATTCGTTCCGCGTCGAACGGGGTGCACTACTGGAAAATACAGCTGTAAGTAGGTACGTCGGCCTGCCAGAAGCATGATCTCTACTAGTCTAACCGCAATGGCCTCGCCCGGGGTAGACAACAGCCGATGTCGCCGATATGGCAGAGGCAGCAATGTCATCGTCCGCCAAAACCCTTCAGCACGGAACGTCACCTCCGGCGGCTTACTGAGCCGAGTCCTAGAGCCGCACAAGTTCCAGAGAAGTTGTTTAAACTGCGAGACGAATCTGGCCGTCGGATGGCACTGGTCCAGAACGCCGCAGGCAAAGCTCAGGTGTGGTAGGTGAGTACCAAATGGGCCTGTGAAGTTCCGTTCCCCTGTCATGCGTCAAGACATGTATGCTGTTGCACTAGAGCCACGTCGCCATGCCTGTCACAAGTGTGAGCATCGGTGCCGATCTGGCGCCGGTCAGGCTTTCAGGGCCCGTCTGCGGTAACGTTGGAACGTTAACGGAACGTTAACGTTGGAATGTTAACATTTCCGCAGAGCCGTCGGTGTCGAGGCAACCGTGCAATCAACTTCGCGAACCTCAAACAACGGGTGCTATACCTCACTGGATCTTCCGTGAGTTGTGTAACGGACCAATAACTGATTCGTTGAGGTTCGAGTGTTCTATAAAAAAGCGGGTATGTCTTTGTATCGACTTTGAACGACTTTCTGTGGTAAAAGCTGTAGGCATTAGAGCATACATGTCCATACTCTGCTCTTGATTAGTTATCTGGTTACCTCACCTTATTATGACTGAAAGATTCCTCCCAATGAAAGTGCTTCTTTCACAGGACCAGACAACCTTCCCAACCAAAATGGGGTGGTGACTTAACAGCAAAAACGTGGCGGAATTCGCACGAGCAAAGCAAAGGGAGCGAGTGGTATCAGTTCTGGCTAGGCCAGCCAGCGATGCGGCCGATATAACGTTCGCCAACAGTGACGGCGTCGGCATCCTCACCAGAGATATTTCGGTCCCAGATAAGTCGAGAGCGCTTCAGTGATCCATGCGATGCCCATTACAATAAACAGGTTCACGTATATCTTCAGCCTGCAAGGAACAGAAGTCAGTTCATTTTATTCAAGCCAGCCGGACATATCCCGCGTAATATTTATATGGACACGAATTAAAATATTGCACATTTCACAGCACAAGCCCCTCCACAATATTTTTCAAAACGAGGTGCCCTGTGCCCATATGCATCATGCAAGTAGAGTGCAGCTATCTGGCCGGTATCGATGCCGGTTGTATGCACCCACGCCCTGCGCAACAGCTGTGCTCCGTAAATCACTTCGCCCCCTCCCCCCAAAAACCCAGGTCATCACATCCTTCTTCCCTGGGCTGGCCACAAGAAGTGTGACGCAGTCCGCCTGAGCGCTTTGTTTAGATCCGGAGAGGGTTGGAGCGAGTGCCGGATGCGTAGCTGGCCAGAATCCGGCTGTTTAGACTCTTTCGATCTCTTGGAGCGAGGAGTTACCATTGATTACACTGCGACGTCCAGGGTCGCAGTTTTGAAGAGAGAATCTCAGAACGGGGGAGTTCAGCAACGGATATTTATGAGGCACCCTGATGTGATGCTGGTTTAGTCTAGCACACTTCCCACGGGGAAAGCACAGCAAGATGTAGACGTCCCGTTGGAACAAGAACAACGATAATAGAGCGAAAGGATGAAGGAGAGAAAACTCCTGCGGGATGAAAGAGAAGTCGATAAATAAAGAGAGAGAGAGAGAGAGAGAGAGAGAGAGAGAGAGAGAGAGAGAGAGAGAGAGAGAGAGAGAGAGAGAGAGAGAGAGAGAGAGAGAGAGAGAGAGAGAGAGAGAGAGAGAGAGAGAGAGAGAGAGAGAGAGAGAGAGAGAGAGAGAGAGAGAGAGAGAGAGAGAGAGAGAGAGAGAGAGAGAGAGAGAGAGGAGGAGAGAGAAGAGAGAGAGAGAGAGAGAGAGAGAGAAGAGAAGAGGTAGAGAGAGGAGAGAGAGAGAGAGAGAGAGAGAGAGAGAGAGAGAGACAGAGAGAGAGAGAGAGAAGAGAGAGAGAGGAGAGAGAGAGAGAGAGAGAGGAGAGAGAGAGATGAGAGAGAGGAAGAGAAGAGAGAGAGAGAAGAGAGAGAGAGAGAAGAGAGAGAGAGAGAGAGAGAGAGAGAGAGAGAGAGAGAGAGAGAGAGAGAGAGAGAGAGAGAAGGAGGAGAGAGAAAGAGAGAGAGCAGAGAGAGAGAGAGAGAGAGAGAGAGAGAGAGAGAGAGAAGAGAGAGAGAGAGAGAGAGAGAGAGAGAGAGCTCGCGACGTTTCATCCTTCCGTCTTACCTTTCGACGCCCGTCTTCTTTTTGCGCACCATCTGCGTGTCCTGCTCGGAGCGGAACAGCGAGCGCGCCGTCAGCACAAACAGCACCAGGTTCGACGTCATCAGCAGCAGGATCGGTCCGTGCAGATAGGCCAGCATCTCCCAGTTCCCTGGCGGCGGTGCAGGTGTCGCTGCGTTACCAAACGGCGCGTACAGGACTGAGGAAAGCTGAGACATTCTTGCACGTCCCAGGTTGGATACAACAGGTAACAGTAAGGCGCAAAGCAGTCTTCTTACGCTCCTGCTTGATTTGCGCAATGGAGTTTGTACATGACACTTGGAAATGCATTCTCATGTGAGTGTGACCAGCCGCTCGCATGTGTTTAGCGATGGAGCCACTGACCAGTACAGGCACAGCATGGCCATCGCCACGTTGACGGCAACATTATCAACGCCGCTGCAAGGAGAGATCCCTGGCACCTGCTCAACTGCTCGGAGGCCCGTACGGCAACATCAAACTTTGGCTGAAGGGTCTGACACCAGCCCGAGGCACACTGCAGTGTTGACATTGCTGGCTAGAGTTTCCACCTCAACACTGGCGGATGAAATGGCATGGTGCAGGGCCAACACGGCCGGGTGGTCTGTGTTGGACGGACAGCTGGGGCCGCGCCACACATCAGCCAGACTTTGTTGATTATTTTCATTAAAAGCGTCGACGTCTGGACATGGTCTGAGCGCTCAGCCTGAGCGACAGGGCCCCGACGGCGTCCTCGGAGATTGGACGACGGATTGCCTGCAGCACGTGGCCTCATGACGCCAGCCAAAGGCCCGCCTTGTGTGTTTTTGTTGGCCGAAATTTCCGCTCTGGAAGAGGGAACGAAACGGCCCGCCGTGGTGTGGTTACGGCTGTTCTTTGGATGCCAGTCATAATCAGACCTGCACCTTCATGTCATTATTCAAGAGCTGTCGGTAGGTGATATCATGTCGAATGTCATTTTAGCTTCGTCGCCCACCAGACAAGTGGAAGGCACAGCGAGTGACAGAACAAGACGTCTTTTGCAGACCCGATATTGTTTGTGCCATTCGCCGGCGGTGAGGCTTCGCTTAGCTAAGGATGAATCGATCTGACTGTATCAATCTATACGAAGGTACGAACCGTACGGTGTGGCAACAGTGCGGCATCACACGACATCCATGCCGTGTGACTACAGTGTGACGTGTAGTCCGTACGACGCATCTACAATCACACGAAATACGGGTATGATTGGGTCTGATGTCACCTCGTCTGCGGTACAAAGCAAAAGAAACGCCGTAAAGCATCCTTTGGTACCACTTATATCCATCACGCTCATTGGTTCTCATGTGAGGGCATGAGAACATGAGCCCCTACATGCCTTCCAAATTCCCAAATCAGACAATGTTCCACTATCGACGTGCAGATTTCGTAAACTGCCCGACCAGTTTATTTTGCATATTCGACGTCCGACCAGCACAGGGTCAACTTGAAACCCCTCAGCACACTGTCATCATGGCCAATAAACACACACCCACCATCTTGATATAATGGCTCGTTATTTTCAAGGGATCTAATAAACACCTAAAACCTAACATGTTGGCAACTGGCAAACCTCAAATCTGTCATCACCTTGCTGTCACATGGCGTGCAAGGCGCCTTGCTTATATCTTAGAACGCTTTTAACAGCAGGAAACCAAAGCTAGGCTTATGGAGCCAGGCACGTCCAGCGTACAGTGCTGAAGTGCTTCACAAACGCGTTGGAAAGCCTTCCGTACCGAGAACTTAACAAGCCGAGCTCCACTAACGTTGCATTCGTGTGCTAATTCACGAATGGTATTGCTTGAAAAATGACTGCTGTGAGTCTGTTATCGCCAGTCTTGTAATTCGAACAGATGAAATCGTTGGCTTCTCAATAATTTTCAGTTTTGGCAATCGTGACAAAAATTATTGCGATAAGCGCGAGTATTTTGGGCGGAAATTAGTCACAATAAGCAGCCTAGGTGCCTATACTACATTCATGGCCTAAGCTATCTCAGTTCCGCCCGCGGCGTGTTCTATTAGAGATCAAGTTAGGAAAAGGCGACGTTGCCCGTTTTCACGTCGATCGGTGGTGCAGCCACGGTCGAGAGTCTACACCAGTCATAGATGGAGTATCGCTAGACCAGTTAGACCAGGCAAGACAGTTTTAAGCTCCGTTAGCGATTTTGTGGTTAACCCTTTCGTCCACATGGTGTAGTCCATCCGACCGATGCACCGTTCCACCGGCGCACATTATTGCCGGCACCGTTGTAACGTTCTATCCTCAGTTGGCATCAGCCTTTAAGTGCTACAAAATGAGGCAAAGTTGGGATGGGTGTAATTTCAGCTCATTGGAGGCATCTTTATGACCACCTCAGTAGGATTTGTAACCATACCAGTGGATTGCCTCAAACAGGCCATGTCAAACAACGCACCTTCGTGCGCAGCTTCTGCATTATTGTCTACTCCTTATTTTCATTAGCGGTTTCCTTACGGGCCATTTTATCACACTGCTTCAGCATGCGCTTCGACCTTGCTTCCCTACCACTGACATAGATCTCTTGCTTCCGCATACCGGACAGGTCTTCAGTGGTCGGGTCTGAGGTGCTGTGCCTCGGAGGTATTTTCATCAAGCAGTACCTAAGGAATCTGCAGATAGCGCAAGAACTGCAGGGCGCTTTGGGCCTAATGGGCAGATGTCAGATCTAGCTGAAACAAAATTTGCTTTCCTGGTGATGTTTCGCAATGAAGGCCTCCATATCACCTCTTCTGGTAAGTTTCTTTGTCCATCGTTGCCTTGCTGAGGGTGAGCATCAGTTTGACAGGCCATCCTTGAGCCGCACCATTAGTTTCCGAGGAGCCTTCAGATTCTGAGCGACATTTGACGTCTGGTGTCTTGACGTTGTTTGAACTGCGACATCCTTTATTTTTGCGCGCTGTGGAATGGTCTATGTAAAATAACTTCAGAATCAAAATAAATAGATTAACAAAGCTAGCAAAAGGTTCTTCGCACGTCTGCACCTTTGAGCCCCTCCATGACAAACGGCAAGACAACTCAGTACTGACTTACCAATAAAATGAAAACGTAATAAATGACATGCCTATGCATGTGGTTTCGTATGGCACTCCTACGGATTACCAAAACAAAGGTTTCATGCGTTCATTCGCCTTAGTAATACGCAACCGATTTGGGTCCCACTCCTACTATTTACCCAATACTAAGTTTCTTGTATCCGCGATGCCAGACCGCCGATATCAGGACGATCTTCGACCAGCATTCTTCAGCCTTTTTGCAATGTCAAAATTTACCTTTTCCATGTTGATGACGCCGGGAGATGCAACCATGCTGATAATGCAATGTCGAAGGGAAATTCACCCAATAAGCGGTTCCCAAGCATGTGCCTAAAATATTACGTCACTGAAGTTTTAGAAAGCTAGTCTTCTTGTCGCTGAAAAGTGCGTGAGCCTACAGTCGTTTGTTGGAAATATATTGGCTTTTATCCAGTGAGTCGCCGGGCTAGGTCGTGCCTGAACGGCCAAGTCAGGAATACATCAAAGATAAAGTAAAACTCCTCGAGCTCCGACCTCGTTCGTGATTAAACTTGTTCGGCATAATGCAGTTGAATCCTGTTAATTACCTAAACAGGTGTTTAATCAACGTACACTTCTGGCCATACCAATTTAATTTATGTGTTAGTGCAAGGCCACAAAATCCACTAAGCCTGCTGGTGGTTAAAACAAATAAACAGTCTCAGGATACAAGGTTAACATGCTTGCGAAGAGACTGCTGAAAACGCGGCGCCTCATTACTTCCACACAGACTTTGTGGCTGCCGTGCCGCAGCGGTCCTTCTCGATTTACACAACAGGGTGACATTTGAGACATACTCCCTGACAGGATCGGCAGAAGGTGCTGCGGCTGAACACGCGCTCGGGTGGGGTCAAATTGATCCCCGAAAGTTTTTCCAAAATGGTTTCCGAACGGCGTGGCGCAACCCCACCAAATTTTGCGTAGCTGCAGACAATGGAATAGCAGACCGTTTGGTATTGCAAATTTAAAAGCACCTTGTAGGGTCGCTGGCCTACGGCAGGTCAAAGTGCAGCCATGGATTTTGCGAAGTGAGCTTTTAGGGAATCGTTCAATCTAATGCGACAATGGAGTGTTAGACGAGACCATACATCTCTGAGATACTTTCTTAGGCAACACAACAATTAAATGAACAAATGCACTGACCTAAGGTCAGTTTTGAAATTCAGACCAAAGTCAAAGCCAATCTGATTTAGCACCCTAGTGTTTGATGTATGGGGTAGTTTCTGAGGCTCATTTCAAATTTATTGATGGCAGGAAGCGCATTATAAATCTTCCATGGACTCCTCAAAGGTAAGAATAGGTCGCTGACCTAAAATGACCCAGGTCAACATTTTGTGTCTAAGAACATACTGCCTAGCGTAATATTTGTCGCTTATTCAAATGTAGAACTCAAAGCAGTCTTGTATTATTTTGGTCACCATGACCTTCGAAAGGTCACATAAGGTCACTGACCTTAAATGATCATGCGACCTTTTGCCTGGAACAGGTATCTAGGTTCTGAGGGCACTTTGGAGACCAGTCGGAGATTGACATTGTATGACCTTACTCGACCCGAAGGTCATGACTTGAGAACCTCAAAATTTTACCGGCGTAAGTTCAGATGCAGGCTAACACATCCTGTGAATTTAGTGTCTTTAGCTCTTTTATTTCCTGAAATCTCAAGCGGTCTAATTGACGCCCCACCCGAACGAAGGGTATCCAGCCGGCCGCTCGGGAGCGTGGTAAGCTATCACACGTGCAGCTAGAACGACGTTTAATAGAGCAAACCACAAAGCCTTACCGCAAATACGAAAGCGGCTCCAAGTGGCACGCGGATCGTGAGGAGTTAACGAGCACCTGTGTCGTCAGCGATAAGCCGGGATCATGCCGGCAAGGATCGGTTCAGGTCACCGCGTCTTCATTCACGTTAGTGGCGGACGTCCACGGCTTAGGCGCTCACTCCGGCACCAGCGGCGGGTGTCCCCCGGCTTAGGTGCTCATCCAGGAGCCAGCATAGGGCGCCCCCAGGTTAGGTGCTCACACAGGCATCAGTAGCGGGTGTCCTGCCGCCTTAGGTGCTCACACAGGCACCAGCGGCGGGTGTTCCGCCGCCTCAGGTGTTCACATAGGCATCAGAAGTGGGTGTCCCGTCGACTTAGGTGCTCACACAGGCACCAGCGGCGGGTGTCCCGCCGCCTCAGGTGCTCACACAGGCACCAGCGGTAGGCATCCCCGGCTTAGGTGCTCACACAGGCGCCAGCAGCGGGTGTCCCCGGACCAAATACTCACCCGGGAACCAGCAGCGGACGGTGCCCAGTCCTGGCCGCAGGTAGTCCTCGGGCGGCACCAGGTCGTCGGGCGCGTACTGCATGAAGACGGTGACGAGCGTGAGCACCAGCGGACAGAGCCAGCAGTACAGCGAGTACCGGATGAACCGCTTCGTCTTGTTGCTGGCTGCCGTGGTCGAGCGGACCCGGCTGAAATGGACACAGCGGCGCCGGTGAGCTGTGATGCCCTGTGAACGGCCGTGGTCTCTTGTGGGGCGGAGCTGGGACAGGTGTGTAGCTTGGTTAGTGAGCTCTCAGCAGACCGAAAGCCTTTCACGGTGCAGTACTGGTTTGTCTATGACGGCCTAAGACAGCAAGCGGCAACACCATCGACCACTAGCAAGACATTCAGTATGGCTTGGGATGGATTGGGGTACATAATGAGATGAATCATCTAACACAGTAACCAATTTCATCAACACGTCTGGAAACTGAACCCCATTCGTCATTGCCAACTGGACATTTGCACTGTCTGCAAGGCCATCCTTCAACAGCACAAATCACTAGCCGGCTATCCGTTCCAAATACCGATGTTTCCTGGTCAGAGATGGCGGAACCTGAGGCCCACACATAAGCAGATGATAAGCGTATGACGCCACGTCGTTTACCTGAGGCTATGGAGGCGCAGATGCGTTGTAATATAAAGGATATGACCTACCGCTACCTAGAGACACATAAGTAGGCGTCGGAATGCCAAAAAGAGGGAAACCAGAGTCTGGGTCTTCAAAACCGCCAGAAATTTCAATCTACTACTAATACATTGAAGAGTTCCTGCACGCGGTCCGTATATGCACGTGAAGGTCCGCGTGCATGTGACGGTCCGGGGTGCATGTGACGGTCCGCGTTGCATGTGACGGTCCGGGGTGCGTGAGACGGTGCGGGGTGCATTTTCGGTTCACGGATAGAAATAACTGTTAAAATCCAGTCTTAATTACGTAAAGTGAGGAGCGAAGCGGTACATGCTGGACCGGGGACAAGTCGTACGTAACAGAGGAGTGTTATGCAAATTTTTCATTCGATACGTGTAGCTACATTCTTCAAGCATGGCTGATCTGGGCTTCTGGCATCAGATCCTCTTCATATGAAATCGGCTTATAAATCGCTCGTGACCTACGTGTATGAGCAGCACAGAGCCGGGACCCGTGTGCTCGAGGTGGGCGCCGCATTCCGAATGGCGTCAGCTGGCGCACCTTTTTGCATAAGCAGTGACGTCAGCGTTTAGAGCACACCACCGCCATGCGCCTCCCACGCCATGTATGGCGATGCATGCCGTTCGCTTGCCGGATATTTATCCGATATGATCGACCATTGTTTCGGGCCTATCCGTGTACATCAGACGCAACAACGCTCCCTGTATGCATGAGTGGTGTGCGCCATCCTGGAATTTCTGATGTGCCTGTCTTTACGGATCATGCTACGTCCGTCTGGCGGCTTTCGACTCTCAGGCTGTCTGGAGGTCGGACTGGCCCGGGGCATGGCTTCTGAACCTGATGGTATTTTCTTCTGGGGCTCTTCAGCTTACGCGTGATGTGACAGATCCTCCCAAAGGCTCTATGAGACGAGCAATATCTCACTGCGTGCATGCGTAACATTGTGCAAGGCCACATGCAAAGCACTACGGGTGTTGTAAACTTCGCTGAAATCCAGAGATATTTGTCACAGTTCCGGCGGTCTCCTTGACTACCCTATGACCACACACGTACAATACACGCCCGCTGTCCGATCGTACCAGTTTATGGCGGCACTCTGATGAGAGCGGAGAGGCTATCGCGGTTCATTGGGCACGCCTGAGCCGACGGCCGGGACCGGACCACCCCGCGATCTCCCGACACGCCTAAGCCGACGGCCGAGACCACCTCGCGACTTCCCGGCACGCCTAAGCCGATGGCCGAGACCACCCCGCGACCCTCCGGCACGCCGACGGCCGGGACCGCCTCGCGAACTCCCGGCACGCCTAAGCCGACGGCCGGGACCACCTCGCGACCTCCCGGCACGCCTAAGCCGACGGCCGGGTCCACCTCGCGACCTCCCGGCACGCCTAAGCCGACGGCCGGGACCGCCTCGCGACCCCCCGGCACGCCGACGGCCGGGACCGCCTCGCGACCCCCCGGCACGCCGACGGCCGGGACCACCTCGCGACCTCCCGGCACGCCTAAGCCGACGGCCGGGACCACCTCGCGACCTCCCGGCAGCGAATAACCGGAAGGGACGTAACTGTGCAGACACCTCCCGCGCCAACCGAGCACGGTCAGGACCGCACGCACCCCTGTAGAGACGGGTCTCGACACGCGCTGATATGATCATCACGCCCAATTGACCTTCGGTGCTCGTCTCCTCCTTCGCCGGCTGATCTGGCAACCCTGGTCTGATCGCCACTGGCCACCGTACAGGGATCATCTAGCCCCCCCCCCCCCCCGGCGACGCATCTGGCAGCCCTGATCTATTCACCATTGGCCACCGTTCGGGGGTCATCTGGTATCCCGCCGACCTGTCTGGCAGCCCTGATCTGCTCGCCACTGGCCATCGCTCCGGGAGCTCCGCCGTGTCCTGCCCTGCCTGATGCTGGACACGTGCCAGACATTCCACCGATCGGTCCCGGCGAACCGCGATCGGGTCTCGGTTTGCAGCTGTCGGAGCGCGATTCAGAGCTGCTCAGGCACTGCGCACGGCTGTCGGCTCCGCCCACGGGACGCTGCGGCCCTCGGCGAACGGCGACAGAAACTCCACCCAACACCGGAAGACATCGCGGCGGCCGCCACCAGATCGTGCCCCCCGAAACTAAACACCCCGATCCACTGCGCAGCACTGCTCACAGGCCACTCGCTCCAGCCCTGTCGCATCAAGAAACAGCCGCGCAGGCGGAGTTATGATGCATTTTTCGCAGGTCGCGGGCACGCTGCGGTGCACGCGTTCAGTGACCCATGACCGGGCTTGGAGGGAAGCGGAGCTGGACCTGGCCGGACATGGATATTTTGTTCGCGGCACGAAAAGTCAGCACATCTTGGCATTCTTTGTTGGGAAACGAATTCCATTTGGGGATGGCCTTAGCATGCACTGCAGATGCCATTGCCAAAAAATGCAAACTCGAGCACGGTCGGACCGGAGAACACGCAAAAACTCCATCGGCTTGCTTACAAGCACATGTATTTTCCCGCGGCTATTTCGTAATCGCATACAGCGTTCGATGCCATTGAGCCGGCGGGAGTGAAACGACTTCAGGTTTGTTTGTTGTTAGACGAAGTGAAAACTCTCTCCTCTCGGTCCGTGGGCCACAACGATCACAAAGTTTGCAAACAATGGTGATACTAAGCTGTATAGAAACAGTTGAAGGATTTGTTGAGTGTTAAGTAACGCAGCCATACATCAAAACGTCCAGAATGTTGTTGATCCTGCCTATCACAGGGCTTCGTCTTGAAAGGCTTGGCTCTTGTTGGAATAGTGCCAGACCATCTTCATGCAACGATCCATTCCAGACCGAAAACCCATGACCATGACTTGGCAATCTAAATGATGCTATTATTCTCAAGACCTATTAGTTTTCTGACGAGCCAGACATCGCAATAATTTGCTGAATGAATCAGCATCGATTCCTTGTGCTCTTAGTTTTGCAGACAGCTCGGTTCAGAAGTGACGCACAACTCACGTTGTTCCCCCTGCACCCCAGCAATTCGTTAAAGCGCCTGGATGCGGTGCATCTGACAGCGACACAAACACATTCCCCGGCTATGACAACTGGGAAGTCAATGATTGCCTACATCCGCCCTTTTTCCTCACTCTCGCTTTTTCCTGTATTCTCGCTATGAACCCCTTTGTCCGGAGCAAGCTATGCCAGCCATGCGTGGGATAAGGGCCGCATAGTGGGCGCCTCGTACGAGCGCCGAGCACATAACCCATGAAGGCGTCCCTGTGCGGGTAAGCCTCGGCGGATAAACCTTCAGGCGCATGTAATTTTGCTCCATCGTTATCCATTCTACTTCATCCCATAGCCTTGAAATGGTCATTACTGACCGAAAAGGCTCTGATACAAGCCATACCAAGCCAACCTTCGCCTGACCTCTGCCGCTTCTTGTTCCTGCGCGATGACACGAGCAGCGCGCAGTGCAGTGATAAGATCTGGCCCACTGTAACAGCGCCGGTCCTGATCTCGCCAATGGGTTGCTCTTCCCCACCTGGCCTCGCACGCCTGGAGCCCCCTCCCCCCTTCCCCTCCCGGCTGAGATCACAGCTGCTTCTCGACCTCTCATGACGGCGCTCGGCAGATCGGTTCAGACCGACTCACGAATCCAGCCGGAACCAGCTGCGAGGATGAGAGGCCGCATCTGCAGCGGACTGACAGCAGCGCGTGGGAGACTGAATGGCAGCAGCGCGTGGGAGGCTGACTGACTGACAGCAGCGCGTGGAAGACTGACTGACTGACAGCAGCGCGTGGGAGACTGACTGACTGACAGCAGCGCGTGGAAGGCTGACTGACTGACAGCGGCGCGTGGGAGACTGACTGGCTGACAGCAGCGCGTGAGAGCAGCGCTTGGACTGGCGATATCAGCGCACGGCCACTCACCCGCGAGGACAGCGGGACCCGCTGTCTTGACTCGGTGCCAATCAGATACGGCCACTCACCCGCGAGGACAGCGGGACCCGCTGTCGACTCGCCAGCCACAGCGGGACCCGCTGTCTTGACTCGGCGCCGACCAGACACGGCTTCAGTGCCATGGTTTCCCACGGCTTAATCCGCATCGAAGGCCTCTCACACTGTTTCGTGCATGCAACGCCGTGATAAGCCCCCGGATCGGATGTGCCTGAATCGACTGCATCATCAAACTGCATTAACCGCGGGGTTATTCCGAACACGTCAGCGCTACCGTGAAATTGACCATACAGCGTCACACAGAACACCAGTTTGCACACCTCTCCGTAATAATGCGAGGCAATGTCTTGTCAATAGCCCTGCGAGCAATCCAAGCTGGACGCGAACACGGCCACCGTATCCTGCAATCCATCATCTCCCATTCTGCATCATCTCACCATCATCGGGGGCTGCGTCTGTTGATCTGTTGCTGCTGGAGATGATCGCGTGTACCACGAAGTGCTTCGGACCGTGCATGTTTGAAAACAGTGACCACGCAAATACACGGCTTGCACAGCCGCGGGGC